TAACAGAGATATCGTTTTTCGATGCCTTCTGTTTCTGTTTAGTTTATTGTTCTGTTACACAAACTAAGATTTATACATACATATGACATATTGTTATTGTTACCTTTGTTACCTAAATAACAAAGAATATGGGTGACCAAACAGTAAAATAAAAAAACATTTTATACTTGTGTTAAAATCGGTCCTTGTTAAAATTATTTTATTAAATTTTTAACATATCCGTGTATTCATTTAACATATTGTATTTATGTTATCTTAATATATTTTGAGTTGAGTTGATATTCAACATGTATAAATACTAAAGTAAGTGTTTACACTTGTAAGTATTAAAATAATATATTCAATACTTCACAGTGTTGAGTAACATATTATGGATATTAATTTTGTGTTAATTTTTTTACATATTTGTTATATATTTTTATTATTTGTTACATATTGTTACATATTTTGGACCGGACATGTGTTGGGACATGTGAAAAATGTTAAATTTAACACAAAATTTTTTACTGCACAATCTCAGTGAAATTAATCATTTTTTTCTGTCAATGTACACTGTCGAGCTCAAAGTTGAAAATGAAATTATAACGGAATCGACCTAGGATCGACAAAGATGATGAAATTTTCAGTTCCTACTGACTGGCTATTTTTCGCATCCAATTTGCCGTACATCACTTGCATCGTGAGATTCCGAAAGATTTCAGATTCAATCGACACTATTACGACTAAGCAATGCTACAAATTCCCAAAATGTCCCGGAGCGTAGCTGAAAGAATATTTGGAAAACACGCGTCATATCGGCCAGAGCCACGGGGGCCTCAAGCTCCGACAATCGACGACAGACGTCCGTTCGGTGTCGATAACAAAAGAACAGGTTCAACGCTGAATCGAGGATTTTTCTACGGCCAGGTAAAGAATCGACGGATGCCGCGCGCGACGTGTCGAAGCCGCTCGTAAAAATCGAACTTTCTTGCTTTGGCGAGAGGGCTGCGACGGAAAAAAGCGCGAGGTCGTTAAACTCGACGTCAGGAGATCCCGCCGAACCCACATGGGAGACGCCGCGAAAAGAAATCTCACCCTCTCATCGTTGCCGCGTTCATTTTCCTCTCTCTCTCTCTCTCTCTCTGTTTGTTCTTTTATTATTTTTTTTTCACCTCACAAGACCGAAAGAAACGAGGGAGAAACGCGCGAGAGAGCAGTCGGACGTACATATTATACTTATCCGATTTCTCGCCAGAAATATACACAGACATGCGCGAGCGAAGAACCGGAGGAACTGCTATATCGTGCAACGTCCGACATTTTACCGCTATTTACTATGTTTTGTCACGGGGTTGCGTAACCCGTTACGAGAACGGAGCGTGTGCGAGATACGGAGAAAAAGTCGTTCGACGTATCTCAGAATTATTCGCTAAGATCGCGCGATACTTGGAAAAATTAGCGAGCAACTGTAGACTTCTTACGACGCGCAGTGAGGACGAGGAAAACGCGGCGGTAAAACGCAGTTGATAAAAAGAGCGCCATATTTCTCGTTTCCGATATAAAATTCCTTTAATGTTCTTAGTTTCTTAGAGCGGGGAATTAAAAGTTGCCCCGGCGGTGCGGGAAGAGATTTAGCTCCTTTTTCAGTCTTCGTCCGTGAACTAAACGAACGCGATGCGTAATCCGCAAAACGAAGGAAACACATGTTGCTATTGTGTTTCGATGCATTTCTGAAGAGCATTAATCGTCCTTTCAAGTGTAGATATGAAATTTCAAGAGAGCTTTCGTGTCTTGGCGACGTGTAATCGAATTTTATCGGAGTAGAATTGAAACTTTGTCCTCGTCGATCCCACGCTCGTTCGTTCGACGACAAATTAGATTTTATTGAACCCACTCTATAGTATGTAATGTCGCGGCTATCGTTGCGATTGATAACCACCAAACTCAATATCGCGTTTGCTTTGCTCTCGGCATATTGGTGATTTGTTTCAGGTCTCTTGGAGAGCTGCAGAGGAAACGTCAATAGCCTCGCGCTTTACACATTCAAAATGACAAGAGCCGCAGAATTGCATCCGATTTGTCAGTCATTGAATCTTGCTTGAAACGTCAATCATTTCTCGCTTTACGCATTGATGATTACATTAAGGAAAAAATCGAAGAGAAAATTGAAGAAAACTATAGTTTAAAAGAAAAGAGAGCGATAATAAATTAGATTAAATTAAAACAAACTGACGACACATTTTTTTTACCTGACAGGTTCCCCGCCTGTTTTGAGAGAGATCGAAAATTGAATCTGGCTCTGCTTTCTCTTCCCTCATAGTGATTTAACACTTAGCAGCATGTGACGAAAAGCGTGTGGAGTCCGCGTGAGGTCGAAACGAGAGCAATAGCATTCTCGTGGCACACACCGCGCACGTGCACCCGAGGGGATTAAATGCGACACTGCAAAATGCTTCGAGCCTCCACACCGGCTGATTGGTTTTTCGCGTTAGCCTTTTATAAAAAGTTCAAATTAAATTTAATCCGTTGAACGATGCACGTGAGCTGTCAATTTCACTAATGTTTCGAGAACGTGGCCCGAGAATCACTCGTCAACAGTGCACATTGATCATCTCTCTTTTCTTCGAAAAAATTGCCGCAATTTTCGGGACAGATTTTTACTTTTGCATAATCCATGAACGGATCACTTCTGAGCAATATTGTTATTTCGAGATATTATATATTTCTATAACGTTAACACACTAAAATTTATTCTCTATTGCAAAGATCGAACGAGACATGGTATCGATAACTCGCGTTATCAAACTTCAACCGACAAGAAACCGTCTACGATGAGTCGTACAATCGAATTCGTCCGGACGCCGAGAGAGAGAGAGAGAAAGAGAGTCGCGCAAATCTCTCCCATTCATTTACGAGCATGTAAACATTGTATGTACTCACCGCAAACGTTGAGCCAGCCCTCGACGCGGCAGGGATACTCCAGCTTCATCTTTGCCCTCGGACGTGGCTCGCGTGAAATCCAGGTCGCGATGACGCTCCTCCCTTGGCACCAACAGGTCGCACAACTGATCACACAAACCTCCGGCGTCTCCCGATTATCACTGAGAAACGATACCGCTAATCGCGCCGGCACACATTCTTCCGCGCGTGCGGAAGACGCGACGCGAGACGATCGCCCGTCTTTTTTCGCGCCTGTCTTCCCTCCTTGTCCGTCTCTCGTTTTATCACAGGTCCGCGACACGCGAGGTGACACGCGCAGACACGCGGATTCGGATATATCCCGAGAAGTCACAGCAACGAGTCGCGACACGGAGAGAAAGAGAGACTAAACGTCGGTCGGCCGGCCAGACAAACAAATAAACAAACGGACGGACGAACGAAAGGTCAAACCGAAGAATGTACGGACGAACGTGATTTGCGTACAGACGTAAGAAAAACGCACTCACGCGCGCACAGACGCGAAGCACACACGACGGCGAACAAATTCGAACTGAGAGCTGCCGCCGGTCCGCGTCCTCGCCGACCTTCCGTCTCTGTCGCGCGCGCACCCGCTCGCTCTTTCTCTCTTTCTACCTCGGTCTGTCTCCTTCTCTCCCTTTCACCCACCCTCGCTCTCGCTCGCTCCTTTCGCTCTCGTTGTCAGGTGGTCCTCGCTGCTGCTCGCCGTCTCGCCGACTCTCGCGTGCGTCTCGTCGCGCGTAATCGCCGGCCGTTGTCACTCGCGCAAATCGGACGCTTCGATCTCGATACCCCGACATCGCATCGCGTCACCCGCTCGTTACTTCCGAGGAGCTCCCATCACGTTGTGCCCATTCGCTCGCGGAAACGTATCGCCGCGCGATGCTACGTACCGCTATCGGAGCGGTATGCATACGCCGGGGTTGCGAAATACCGTAATCAGATAACGTTATTACGGACGACCCAGACGCGCGCGTAATCTCGTCCGTGGTAACCGGCGGAGTCCATATTTCTACTCCCGATACTTCGATACTACGTGATTCACTAATGATTCCCGTCGTTCCGACATACGATCGCGAATAATTGGCATGGTTAATGGTAAAAAAATACGGATTTAATCATGGGTTTTGTACATAACGTTGCATTTCGAGTGCTCGTCGATTAATTACATGACGGTACGTATCAGGGATGGTTTCGTTCAATTGTTCTTATGACTAGAAAGTGAAACTTTCAAATTCAAATTACGCGTTTAACAGCATCGGATGTTATTTTTACCTTTCGCATCTGATTGGAAGGAAGAGGGAGCACGTGACCTTGTCCCTTGAATTTATATTCATCGCTTATCGCGAGGTGCGCGATATATGCAACTTGTTAACACTTTCATATTTTCTTAAGAAACCGAATAATGATAAAGTAGCTTTAAATTTACATATGGTATTTGAACTCGAAGCAAGTGGTAATATCGTTAGGTAAAGTAGATTAAAGATTTAAATCACTCTGTCGCAAGTGGTAATCAAGCTGCGCTTTCTATATTTGATATTCTCCTTCGAAAATTTTCTTTCTTCCCCTTCCCCTCGATTTCTGAATATATATTTATATTATATTATACCTACTTCAAGCACAGAAACTATAATATAGGTGGTCTGCTCTATTCAGTTGCACTTTTTGTACCTTCTCTCAGTTCTTGTCCTCGGTTTTTGTCCTCTCAAAGCTCGAAGATACATTTATCTCATTCAGATCACTAGAAGTGCAGTACATTATCATTAAATAAGTAATATAACAAATCTATTGCAGTTGGAAGCAAAGTACTTAAAATTATACTTACAACAAAATAAATATACGTTTTAGTATTTGGCGAGAGACTGTGAGAAGATAAAATCAAGAAAAGTGTACGAAGTGCAGAGGAGAGGAGCAGTAAGCTCCTTCGTGACAAACGGAGCGAGCGACGCGCGTAATGCGCAGGTGCCGATCGAAGTAGTTTCAGCGCCCGCCGGACGCAATTCGGAGATCGTATCGCCATCTGGCGAGCGGGCCAGCAGTCAGTCCTGGCAAAATGGCGCTCAAGGCACAAGTCGGTCAGAGTGAGTAGCGTAAAAATACGTTAATTTCGTGTTGCTTTCGCGTCTGCCTGTAAACATCGTCACTCGGCGTCGTCGGCCGACTTACGGGATATCCCGATCGCGCCAATCTCGTACCTGTCGATCTTCGTCGCGCGAAGAAATCGATTTCAAATTGGGCGTACGCGCCCCCGATGATTTCATCGGATGGGACGATCAGGCGACCACAGAAACGTCAAACGTCGGAACGCTGTGGAACGCGTTTGAATCTCGTGGATCTTCCTGGCGATGAGTTCGGGCCAGGATCCGACTTCGGCGCGACGACGACGAGCTCGATTGTCGACTCCGCGGGCTACGGGAGATCGTATCTCGCTTCGGTGATCGCATGTGTCAGCTATCACGCGTAAACATATAGATCGCCCTTGTTATCACATATCCGGCGAAATCAGCAAATTTTATCCCGCCGAAGTTACAATGATTGGAGACATTCGCAACGACGATCTGCCGAGTGTCGAGTCGCGATTGTCGGCCAAATGTGTCACTGTGAGACGTGGGAAACGTGACGATTATTTCCGCGTCTGTACTCGCGATGATCTTCGCAGAATATGCCGATCAATGCCGTCGACGCAGCGAAAAATTGCGCGTTCTCTTGATTAACGTGATCACGCGAAATGCTTGTCGAACGAACGCCGCTGCCTCATGCGTTATCGCTCGTGGTTCATAGGCGATACTCTATCCTGAGAGTGACTGTTGCTCTTCCGAAGTGATTCATCCGTGTTACCATGGGACGCTTTTCTGAAACGCGGTAAGCTGATCAGAGATGCGCGCTTTACTCGCGAGCGCGAATTTCACTCGCCGCGGAATACCCGTCATCGATCTTCCATTAAAAACTACCCGCTCGCAAAATCAATGCGCACGTCTTCTTCGCGTTGCATGTAATTCATAATTAGTACAATGTTATTAACAAACGCAAGGAATATAGTGTATTGTCGATATATTAAAGTCATGTCCACAAGTATTATCATTATCGTTGAAAATATTTAACGAAAAAAATGCTATTCATTCGCGTTTTCTATCAGTTTGAAAAATTCGGCGGTGATTACAAACTAATTAATTATCATGTGATCCCAATATGAACTGCCTGTTTACTTCCCAAGTCAATTAATTCGATAATTCCGATTGTTTTTCCACGCCATTAAACCGCGTCGAAGATCACCGAGTGTGGTCTTTCGGATAAAAGGATCGAGGAAGATCTTTTTCATCTGAATATGCAGATTCTTCCGCTGACGAAAACGTCGGAAACGGGATTTGCGGTCTCGTTGATACGCGCCTGAATGTAGTGACGTCACCTCTCCGTAAAGACGATCAATATACGTTAGAGCGTCAAAGGACTTCTTAGCGGCTCTCGATCCGCCCGCCAACGATGTTAATGTCGATGATTAATTGTCGACGATTCGCCGATGACTGCGAATTACGTTTACTCGCGTTGTAGTCAATGGCGTTACGATTAACATTTTCGCGAGTTGGTTCTTCGCCTCATCGAGTCTACTCATAAATTTTCATGATTTCTTGAATGAGGTCCTACTACAGGAGATGAATTCACTTGATTTATTGAATTCAATGGGATTGTGTTACTCGAAAGAGAAACCGTGTTTAACAGACATTGGGATAATATTTCTTAATCTGTATATTTAACCCTTTGCACTCGAGGGCTCCGGAGCGGAGCCATTTAAAATTTGTCTTCAAACTCGAGGGCTATGGAGACAATGCAAATAACTTTCAGTTCATAACATAAGGACAAAGACAAAGACAAATCGTAAAAACTATTGTGTATAAGATATTCCGCTCTTGTTATTTGCATTGTCTCCATAGCGGAGCCCTCGAGTTTGAAGACAAATTTTAAATGGCCCCGCTCCAGAGCCCTCGAGTGCAAAGGGTTAATAATCACTACATTTCTCCAAAAACTATCATTTTCTTCTGAATATTTGTTGATCCGAGTCAGATAAAAATATGTAATTAATTATTAAAATACACGGTAAAAAAATCTTGTGTTAAATTTAATACATTTTCACATGTCCCAAACGGATCATTCAAATTTTTGTGTTAATTTAACATAAGATGAATATCTTGAAAAGTAACACTAATATTATGTCAAAATTAACATATAATTAACATATAATTAAATGTAAAATTAATTAATCGATATGGAAGTTTAAAATGTGTTATTTTAATACCTACACATATCGACACGACACAAAATTGAGATAACATAAACACAATATGTTTAATTAACATACGGATATGTTAAAAATTGAACACAAAAATTTTAACAAAGATCGATTTTACAAATACAAAATGTTTTACTGCGTATTTATCCTTTAATATATGTTCTTCTCTTGTTAAAGCGCGATATTAAATATTACGTTATAATTAGAGGAAAAAATATCCGACGAATCACCATTTATTATAGAATAAGCTATAAATTGCAATGTTTAAAATATCATATCCGGAATATTTCACGATAGATAAAATCAACCGTTGCATCAATTATTCGCTCATTATTTTATCGATCTCTCTAGATAAATTATTATTAATTTGAAATCCCTGTTAAATCGCTTCGACCGAGGATACTTTTTAAGAGCACCGTTTTTCCACGTTAAATTCGCAACACCAACGAAAAATCAATCATTCACTAATTACGGATCCTTTCACGTCGCAGAGATTATGAATGAGGTGATTAAGCAGAAGAAGAAGACAGCAGGTGGGGTAGAATGGCGGATTCTGGTGGTGGATCAGCTGGCGATGAGGATGGTGTCGGCGTGCTGCAAGATGCACGACATCAGCGCTCAGGGCATTACCTTGGTGGAGGACATCAACAAGAAGCGCGAACCCTTGCCGACGATGGAGGCGATCTACCTCATCACGCCGTGCAACCCGTCGGTGCAGAAGCTGATCGACGATTTCAGTAATCCAACGAGAACCACCTACAAGGTCGCCCATGTGTACTTCACCGAAGGTATCTGTTGCGACTGATGTCTCCCCTCCCCGTCTCTAAGGATCAACGTATCCTCCAACCCCCGATGATGAATCCGAACGGTCCGAATCGTCTCTCCAGCGAGGGGAGTAATTCGTATTAATTTTCAGTGGCATTCGTTAAAATAGATAATCTAATGAAAGTATCATGAAAAAACGGAATGTTGAATGTTTAATGGGAATGCATTTGTGGGACTCTTCTCGTAAAATCGACGCTTTCTCGCTGAAAATTCCGATCGAACGCCACTGTAACTTCGCCAGTTGTTATATCCGGAATTCGCAGCATGAGGATTATCCGTCGGTAGTCCACGGTCTGTAAAATTGAATCTCTGTCGGAACATCCGCCCCGGGATTGACTCTATGTTAACACTCGAACGGTCCGATCCTTCAACTGAGGATTTCTGCTGAACTCGAAGTACTCAGTATATTTCTTTGCAGCGTGCCCCGACGAGTTGTTCAAAGAATTGTGTCACTCGCTGGTAGCTAAGCACATAAAGACACTAAAAGAGATCAACATCGCTTTCATACCGTACGAAGAGCAGGTAAAGCAACGAACGTTATGAGAAGAACAATGTTTCAGCGTTTCTTCGTGGTGGCGGGCACGTACACATCTACAAGCGTACACCCACTCACACACACACACACATAGACGAAACAACACAATTGAACACTATTTTTCGTCACGTGTCTATCTGTGTTCACTTTTCGGTCTCTAATCACGTGAAAATCTAATAATCGCACGCGGGCCACAGTCACGGATAACAATCGATACGACGTTAACGCGACGTAAACCTCCTCTCACCCTCACCCGCGTTCCCCGATCCTCCAACAATGACCCACGAACGAGCACATACTAATAATCAGAATGCATTCATGCTTGCACTCGACCAGTATGCCCGGAGGAGCTGTTCAATGAACTCTGCAAGTCTCTCGCCGCTAAAAAGATCAAAACCCTCAAAGAGATCAACATCGCATTCCTGCCGTACGAATCGCAGGTGACGACCAAACGGAGAATAGAGAAACAAACGAAAGAGAAAGAAAAAATAGAAAAAAAAGACAAAAAGAAGAACCAAGTAGTAGATGCCTATAGTATAGAGCTATAGAAAAGATCGCGAAAGATCCGTCGACTCGCCGGTCTTTTTACAGACTTTAGAGATCTCGCTGCTTTTTTCGCGAATCGTCGGTTTGTTTTTTACGTTGCGAAAGGCCGGACTCGTCTCTCTCTCTCGCTTTCGCTCTTGCTCTTTCATTTCGCGGAAAATCCGCGTAGAGTTAGCGCCTCGCACCGCCACCGGTTTTTCTTCTCGATCTCTGGCAGATAGCGTTGTCTCGTCGTATTTTGCCACGCACGGTTACCCGATTTCGCTGCTTTCTGGACTTCGCTACTAATTATTGGCATGCTTAACTTATACTTTGCATCTTAAGTATGATACGAAACTTTGCAATTGGCTTCTCATCGCCTCGCTGAACGCGGCCGGAACATCGTTGTTGATCCCAATTCTCGATTTAGGTCTTCTCGTTGGACTCGCGCGAAACTTTTGCCTGCTTTTATAACCCGTCTTTCTTCAACCTGAGACCAGCCAACATGGAGCGCATCGCCGAGCAGATTGCGACGCTTTGCGCCACTCTCGGGGAATATCCGTCGGTCAGATATCGAAGGTAATTTTGTGATTTCGAGTTCTTGCAAATTGTAAATTTGCAAATTGCGAGTTGCGCAAACGCGATTGAAGTAAAACTGTTGCCATGTCTTCTTACGGTTACTTATTTGCTAAACACAATACTGAGTTCCTTCGGGAATGTTAAATAAATATTGAATGTGCCACAGTGACTTCGACCGCAATGTCGAGCTGGCTCAGTTGGTGCAGCAGAAACTGGACGCGTACAAGGCTGATGAGCCGACCATGGGAGAGGGTCCTGAGAAATCACGTTCTCAGCTACTAATCTTGGACAGAGGATTCGATTGTGTCTCACCTTTGTTGCACGAACTGACGTTACAGGCCATGGCGTACGATCTGTTGGACATCGACAATGATGTCTACAGGTAAAGGTGGTTTCATAATTCGCGCATTTGCGGATTTAAAACGATTGTCTAATATGGCAATGACATCGAACAGGTTCGAAGCGTCAGCAGGACAGGAGAAGGAAGTCCTGTTAGACGAGAACGACGACTTGTGGGTGGAGCTCAGGCATCAACATATCGCCGTGGTGTCTCAGTACGTATGGACACAAGTTCCGAATTTTCCCCGAGACCGTTGACTACTCATGGAAGGAATGTAAAAGTAAACTTTCTCGTCTCTTGCAGGAACGTGACTAAAAACTTGAAGAAGTTCACAGAATCAAAAAGGATGCCGCAGGGTGACAAGCAGAGTATGCGAGACCTATCGCAGATGATCAAAAAGATGCCGCAGTATCAAAAAGAATTGAGCAAATACGCTACGCATTTGCAACTAGCCGAGGACTGCATGAAGCGTTATCAAGGAAACGTAGATAAGCTCTGCAAAGTGGAGCAGGTAAGTGATATCTCGACAGTGCCGCCAGTATTGAAACCTACCTGGCAAAATGTACTTTTCAAATCACGTTTTCTTGATTACGCGCCTTCCAGGATCTGGCCATGGGCACCGACGCGGAAGGCGAGCGCATCAAGGACCACATGAGAAACATCACACCGATCCTCCTCGATCAGACAGTGCATCACTTGGACAAGTTACGCATCATCTCTCTTTACGTCATCAGTAAAAACGGCATCACCGACGAGAATTTGAATCGGCTGGTTCATCACGCCCAAGTATCCGTCGACGATAAGCAGACTATCGTCAACATGGCGAATCTCGGTATCAACGTTGTTGTGGAAGTAAGCTCGAGATCTGTGCGCATTTCATCGCGGAATATTTTTAACGACTCCGTGTCTCTATGCTATCATCTCCCGTCCGCAGGGTAATCGCAAGAAGCTGTACACAGTGCAGCGTAAGGAAAGAATCACAGAGCAGACTTATCAGATGAGCCGTTGGACGCCGATCATCAAGGACATCATGGAGGATTCCATCGAAGACAAACTTGATTCGAAACATTTCCCCTTTCTCGCTGGACGCGCGGCCAGTTCAGGATATCATGCACCAACCAGGTATATTATAATAACATATATATATATATAAAATGTTATAACAACGGTTTGTAACGAACTTCCTACGTTCGTTAATTCAATAAAGAGTACATAAATAAGATTCTCGGGATATATAATCCTTGAGTAATTGAAAGAAGCTAATAAGAGCCGGCATTGGTAATCGGTGAAATTAAAAAATGATTTGTTATACAAAGTCGATGAATCTAATGTTCAAACCTTTCGGTCGTAGATTTCGATCTTCTTCAGTGAAAATTACTATCAATAGTTTTGATCAACTTTGTAAGTGAAATTTTTCTTAATTTCACAACTAATTTCTAATTCCGGTTTTTATTGATCCCTTCCAATTGCTCCGTTAATTTAACTTCTCGAAATAACAATACACACATTTGCAGCGCACGATACGGTCACTGGCACAAAGACAAAGCCCAACAGACCATCAAGAACGTTCCCCGGCTGATCGTCTTCATAGTTGGCGGAGTATGCTTCTCCGAGATACGATGCGCTTACGAGGTGACAAACGCTTTGAAAAACTGGGAGGTCATAATCGGTAAGGATGATCCTGCGACACCCAACTTTCAAAATTGAAGAGCAGCTCATATAATTGACAAGTTCACTATCGTTAATATCCGCTCACTGTAGGCTCGTCCCATATCATCACGCCGAAGTCGTTCCTGAACGACCTGAGCAAGCTGCACGTCTAAGCTGCCGCATAGACTGAGGAACCAACGACATTCCCGCACTCCTACTTTGCCATTAGCTTCGACTCCATCAGTAATACCAGCTATGAAGTCATCAATGATCTCGAGCACGAAATTAGCATACAAACCGAGCAAACGAACGTCAATTCTTCGAGCGAGAGCGCCTCGTTCCGGGCGGAAACGCCGAGAAGCGTACGGGAGGTGTGTCCTCTCGACGCGACGCAATTTTGTCAGTCGGCTAACAATGAAAGTATTCGTGTATTAGTCAAGCACGAGGGATCTTGATCCGAAAGGTTATCTAGAATCAAGTGCCTGCGCGAATACATAGTCACCGGAGATCGCATGAAGACACAACGTTGGCAATACTGATGCAGGTCGCGCGAAGGTGTGCAACGATACGACGAGCTCGCGGTCGAGCCTCCGGCGGAGTTCCAGAAGAGAGACGTGTTTGCACGCGCGCGTATCGCACCGCCCTTTGTCGGTAATAAGGGAGGGAACTCGCGCGCGGAGGAATTTCTGTGTCGTAGAGGAGGATCGTGATATCCCTGTACATTTCTCGTTATTATTATTAGCGTTTCGTTACCCTCCGCTCCATCGTTGAGAGACTCACCGGCACCACAGATCCGAGTTGGCATTTTCAAAACTCATAGCTCGTTTATGCCCGGTATTACCGAGCCCGAAGTAATCGATTCTGTCACGATTAAGAGACAGTATCGGGCCGTAACACAGCGTTCGCCTCGCACTTCTCCCCAAAGACCTCATCGCCGGCACGGTAACGACGAACGCCACGTTATTTATTCGATAATGTTATTTTCTCGGAATCGTGTAATAGTTAGCGTACACTGAATGTAAAATAAAATTGCTAGATGTACGAACCCGATCTTGTTGATGAACGCTTGTTCTTTCTTCGTTTACTCGCTTAGCTGTATCTCGATAGTTCTGTGCAATACGCGTCTCTGATTTCAAGTAGCCGATCACCGGTTCCGAACGCTATGTACAACCATCTACACATACACATACATACATACATCATACACAAGTACGCACACATACAGTTCCGACGTAATTTCCACGTACGCCGTTTCCACGTATAGAATATATTCACGATATATGATATTCACATGGCTCTTTCTCTCCCTCTCTCTCTCTCTCTCTCTTTCTCTTTGACAAACTTCACTAATGACGATTTTACTTCCGTTGAATGTAGTTACAGACGCAGTTGTGATGTCAATATGTACTTGTGTGTCGTAAGGTCTACCGCAATATCGAACAGCAATCGTTCCGCGACTGCGTGCGTGTGATGGAGGAGCGCGCTTTCGATTGAGAAGCTTGCGCTTCACGACGAACGATATAACAGTGGTAATAATTATTGATGTGATGTCAATAAATGTTGCGATTCATTAGCGGGGAGATTATTACAAAGTTAAACGATATTTATAGAGAGTATATCCTGTTGCATATATATATGTATGTATGTAGATTATAGCTCCGAACGAAGTGTTCTGCTTATAAAGGCCTACGATGTGCTCTATTTGCCGTCTATTTTTATTAATTGTCACACTGATCACCATCATTGCGACACACGCGCGTGCGGAATCGGAAAAAGAATCCACAAACTCGGATAACAGCTCGCTCGCGAATGTATCTTGATAAGCGCTGGTCGATCATATCCCCGACAGCGTTCACGGGGGTTATCGATAATCCGAGGTCAAATTAAAAAGAATTCACTTGCGAGGCAGAGAGCGAGAAACAGACTCGACGAGCGCTTACTTTCAACAGCTGTCCCTTTCGCAATCTGCTCGTCGTGCCTGTCTCAATTTCAACTCGAAGCGAGGTCGAAGAGATGTCGGATTCGAAGAAAAAGGTGGTTCTGGCGTACAGCGGCGGTCTAGATACCTCCTGCATACTGTTCTGGCTGAGAGAAAAAGGATTCCAAGTTGTCGCTTACGTGGTAAGAATCCTTGCAATCGCGCTCGTTATTTTGTAACAGCGAATATGTGAGAGACTGATTGTCCAGGCAAACATCGGGCAAAATGAAGACTTCGACGCGGTGCGAGAGAAGGCGCTTAAAATCGGCGCGATTAAGGTAATTGCGTTTTGTTCGTGTGCAACTTCAATTACTTGAAGTAATTTCGTTGAAATTGTGAAAAATTCTAAAATATTTGCCATACATTTCTCTGTGTATTACAAACGTACTTGTTACGACGGCAGATGATTCATGTAACTTTTATTGTTCGCAAGGTTGTGATAGATGATGTCAAGGAAGCATTCGTCACTTCTTACGTGTGGCCCGCAGTGTCCTGCGGTTTGCTCTATGAGGGAAGATATCTTTTAGGCACGTCTATAGCACGACCGTGTATCAGCCAAGGTCTGATAAGGACGGCGAGAGCGGAAAATGCCGGTATCATAGCGCATGGAGCAACCGGGAAAGGCAACGATCAAGTTCGCTTTGAGCTGAGCTGCTACAGCCTTTGTCCCAATATCAAGGTACTTCTCGCGCCTATTTCATCGATAATTTGCTCGATGCGAAAGTTCCGAGCAATTAAGTCTTCAAGTTCTCTCGCTGTCCAGAATTATTTCATACGTTTGTATATAAGAATAAACGATGAAAATAAAAAGGAAAGAATCAACGTAATCAAAGTTCAAATTATCAAATATAAAGAATATCATTTTTGTTAAATGATTATATCTTAAAAATATCGGAAATTAGCTTTCTTTTTTTATAAACACATTTAATACTTAATGAATTATAATTTCTATTAATATTATTTAATAATACTTGGTACAGAACGTGGTAAAACAGTTGTTGTTTCTAAAAAATGTTGATTCTTGTCTCTGCTTTTAATAATAGATGAAGACAAAAATTAATTCAATTCATTGTTCAGTCATTCTATTCAAAAATAAAAATTCCTTTTTGATTCATTGTTAGACAGGCTAATTGAAAATAAAGGACTTGTCGTTGAGTCGTATTATTAAAAGATATAAAGATTATTTGACAGACTGTTTAGTGATATTAGTTAGAAATAAAAAAAAAATACATTTGGGTCGTCGTCAAGTCTCTCTTATTCGATTTGAAAATATAAGGTTGTCCAACCCATCGTTGAGTCGAATTACTTGCTTGACTTGTCGGTGGAGACAGTGACGGCTCGTAGCGGAGACTTTGAAACTACATATTGCAGTTTCAAAACCTCCGCTACGAGTCACTGCTGTTTCTATTGACAAATCGAGATCGAGGACGCAGTACAACTCAACTACAAATCGGACATACTTTTTTCATTTTTAAGTAATATGACTCAATAGCGGATCCGCACGATTTTCCACTTTTGAACTGATTGACTTTTATTTTCCAGAAGTACGTCCAACGACGAATCGCGCGTACGGTCTTTTATTTTCCATAATTCAAACTTAAACTTTCCCGTAACACGATTTAACCACGAAGTATAAGAAAAGGAAAGTTAAAATCGCACTTGTGATCATAATGCGAAAGATTAATTTTTCAAGATCTTGGCGCCGTGGAGGGAACATGAATTTTACACCAGGTTCCAAGGAAGACCGGACTTGTTGGAGTACGCCCGACAAAATGGAATTCCGACCTCGGCGACGCCGAAGGAACCGTGGAGCACCGATGCTAATCTCGTGCACGTTAGGTATAGAATTCAGATAAGTTTTCATTAAATATAACATCCGATAGGACGTGAGTCGTTTGATTTCCCGTAGCTACGAATCGGGAGTGTTGGAAAATCCTGCGAAGCCCGCACCGAGAGACCTCTACAAAATGACCACTGATCCCGTGGACGCCGTTTCGCAGGCGGAAGAAATCGAAATCGATTTCAAACACGGATATCCGTCCATCGTGAGAAACCGGAAGAATGGACGGATGTTCGACGCTCCCCTGGCGATAATCGAGTATCTCAACGAAGTCGGTGGCGCGCACGGTATCGGGAGAGTCGACATCGTGGAAAATCGATACATCGGACTGAAAGTACGCTTATCGCGAACCGCACATCCGCAACGCGATAAACTTTCGATAATCCGTAATTCGCGGCATAGAATTCTCGGAACAGAGAAAATTGCATTCGGCAGAGAAGAATCGCGTTTGAGCGGATTAGCGTTACGTTTACGTTAATACACGCGCATTGGATAAACGAAGCGCATTTGTTGATATGTTTTTCTAGTCTCGTGGAATTTACGAGTCACCAGGCGCGAAGATCCTGCACGTCGCGCACCAGGACTTGGAGGTGTTCGCGTTAGACCGCGAGGTTCTGAGGGTCAAGTCCTATCTGACGGACAGGATGTCGGATTACGTGTACAACGGTAATTAAACGCATGCATAAACATAGCGCAAGTTAATATAAATAAAATATAAATGAAAAAAAAAAGGATATCTCGAAATTTGTAAATTATAAATTAAATATGAATCGCAAAAAATGCATGTCGAACGCAGGTTTCTGGTTCTCGCCCGAGTGTGACTTTGTGCGGGAGAGCATTCTTTACTCGCAGAAATACGTGAACGGCACAGTGAAGCTGCGATTGTACAGAGGAAACGGTTGGTATCGATCACGGTTCGAGCTGGATTCGGCGCTAAGTGGATCCGCGCAGTCTTTGACTCGGGACACGCGCAGTGTCTTTGCCTCAGCGTCGTAAAGACCAACAAAGATCGGCGTCGATTTTAGCCCGCACTTAGCGCTGAAAACAGGAACACGCGAGTGAATGAGAAAGATCAATCTGTAACCGACGGGAGGAATGACGAGTCGCTGTTTCTTTTTCTGTCATGCAGTCATGGCGATTGGCAGGTCGAGCGAGGTTTCCTTGTACAACGAAAATCTCGTCTCGATGGATGTGCAGGGAGACTTTGAGCCCGCGGACGCCACGGGATTCATTCGCACGCAGGCTCTGAGGCTGAAGGAGTTCCATCGCTTTAACGAGCAACGAGACATATCTAAGTGAGAGGAAAAGAGAGAGAGAGAAAGACACCTGTTATACTTAGGCGCGGGTCTCGAATAAAAATAAAAGGCACTCCGCTGCTTAACCCAACGTTATTTTATTACTGCACTCTCATACATGACTTATTCTCGTTTTCGCGAATACTTCTTACTTTATAAACATCCATGGCGCATGATGTCTCGAGACGTAAGTGATAATAACTCTCGACACCACTGCGTAACAACAATACAATCTAAGAGACACGATGCGGTATCGCAATGGGAGCGAATCCGATTACCTCGGCGTCGCGATACGAGGACAATACCGCTAAAGAAACAAGAGTCCGCGTGTTTGTTAATAAACGTAAGATCGCAAGGTAAATAAGGAAAATATTGCAATGAAATATCTTAACGCGTAATTATAGCTCTCTCGGACCGTGTTATTATTAACTCAACATTGTCCGTACAAAGTATCGTCGATAACGAATCTAAACCCAATAAACAGCAACCATCAGTAACGAAAAACCTCAGTGTTATAATTCTCCGCTCAATAACGTAACTGTTAACACAACGCACGCGTTATATTGCATTTACATTCCTGAGTGGAGAATTATAATATTGTAATGTCGCTGTTAATTCACTAGGAATTGGCGCCACGGCTCATCTACCGAGAGCACTGAAACGTAATGGTGCTCCGATGAGAAGTAATTAAAAGTCATTTTCGACCCGAGCACTCGTGCCGCTCGTAATTCTTCCTCCTTCCCCAGAAAAAAAAGAAGAACGAATACTGTAAGTAAATTGTTAAGAATAATCGTGGCATTGCGGCGCCGAAGTGATCGGAACGCGTCTCGCAGTGGGAAGAGAACATACGTCTCATTAATCGTGTGTGAAAAAACATAACGGACAAATCAGATAAGTCTACAACGAATGCGACGGTAATCTCCCGATTGTTCTATGCGCATGCAGTGGTCACGGGAAGGAAGTGAGGTCACAATGAAACACTACACGCTACACACTCGTTTGCCTTCATTGTAGTTATTAATAATTAAACCTTAGGATTATTAACATACTCTCTCGTGTGTGAGGATTATAATAGCGTATATAATATGCGTCTTTATTTCGGGGATATCGATAGTATACACAGTGATCCGATTCTCCTTCGTCGCCATCAGGTGCCTGCAAAAGTCCGTCGGATTTTCAAACGCGTTCCCCCCTCTCTCTCCTTATCTAGTATACACCGACGGAAATGTCAACATGCCATGCTCAGTCAAAATATTTGCCATCATTATCCGCTTCCCGCCATCGTTCGCAGGTAATCCCGCGAATCTCCATAGAGTGATTCGTTCTTAAGGTCAACGTGACCGTCAACAATCCGACAGACTTTCGCAAAAGCTCTCCCCTTCCTCCCCCTCCCTCCCTGATAATAATAATCTGCGCCCTACAACTCGCAACTCAAGTTCGCCGGGTGGTGTTGTAAAATTCAACGTTCGTGCTACGGAACTTAAACTTATACGAGAAAAATTACGAGCGATTCGTCGACATGCTTCAGTCGCTTCTGTGTCGATTGTTCGCATCGTCCTTCCGGCGCGCGAAACCCCATAGTGTCGTCGTTAACAGGTGCCGAATCAATCCGGGACTCCTGAGGATCGCGTCTGAAAGGGAAAGGATCCTCTCGCGCGTCGGCGAACGTCGGGAAGCACCGGCGAGACGCAACGGTACGTCCGATTCTATTGTGACATTCGCCGAAGCAGTTCTCTTCTTCCCCTTTTCAACGACACTAGGTGTTTCACACGAAAAGACGAACGGGATCGACACCTCGCAACTTAGGGGAAAATCTATATCAAGTACGAAACCATGACGGTACTCCTTTTTATGTAGCTCGGCTACGAGTGACTTTCTATACAGGTCTCTTATTCGCTTTTTGCTCCATTCCTTGCGTTTATTTATACGTGTGTGTGTGTGTGTGTGTGTGTACATGCAAAATTACAAACTAGGGAAGGTAAATTCTTTATACATATACAATCGAGTAACCTGTGGTGTGTAGCTCTCATATTCACATTTGCTCTCGTCAAGTTCAAATATATTCGTTAATTCAATCGTAATAAACATGCTTTCTTCCTTTTTATTTCTGATGATTAATAATAACAGTACAGACAATATATATATATATATATATATATATATATATATATATCGCGGCTTGACGTTGTTAAGTAAGCGGAGGATTTTTTTCGTTTTTATATATGTATAAGCGGTCAAAAAAGAGTCACGGATGATATATACCGTACGCACACCTTCATTATGATAAAAGAAAAAAAAAGGTACGAAAAAAATAAATAAATTTTCATGCAATATTACGTGTTGAATCTTCAAGCTAATGTACGACAAATAGAAAAGGACTTTACAAAGTCATTAATATTGATCCCGTATATCCTCCTTTTTCTTAATTTTCTGCTTTCAATGTCACATGCGTATTTTACTTTGATGAAATTATATTACGAAATTATATTGGAAAAATTAAAACTCACTGCAGCGTTTTACGAATCAGTTTTTTTTTTCAATTCGATTTATTTATAAAAAATTGTATTTAACATAAATACGAAAGTAAGTTTACGATATACCCGAGTATAGCTAGATTATAATGAAAAAGAAAACGGGAGGGTGCGTGAGAACGCGACGCTCGACAAATAATCGTTTTTTCTCCGTTTTTCTCTCGCACATACACGCACGCATACATATTCGTTCTCTACGTCTCTCCATTTCTTTCTCTCCTTCTCTCGTTTACTTAACAACATCGACCGACTCTTCGGTTTATCCGTTTATTTTCTCATCTCATTATTATTTATGTACAACCACTTAATGTTCACTATCGTTAGTCGTAATAAGTTTACTAAAATTCATGTGCCATTGGAGATGATGTGCGCTCGTGGGAACTTATATAAAAATTATTTTTTGATACAGTTGAGTGATTTTGGTGTTACTTACGCAATATGTATTTATCGTTACATCGTAACTTATGCTGAGATCTAGTCGGTTACACAATCTATATCGGTTTTCTCTCTTAAAGAATACAAACCTTATCACATATATAGAGATGTGTATTGTGTGTGTATGTGTGTGTGTTTCATATATATATATATATATATATATATGGTACCTGTATATGTATATATTGTACACTATACTTTATATAGCATATATAGTATTATATAGTGTATGTATGTGTGTGTGTGTGTGTACATACATATATATATACACATACATACAGACAGACATACATACATACATACACACACACATATTTGTGTGTGTGTGCGTGTGTGTGTGTGTGTATATATTTAGTACCTTTTTATATTTTATACATAGATATCGCATGTTTTCTTCTGAATCTATACGCTGCCAATGATTAGTTTTGCCTGTATATATGTACAATTACAAACTATGTATTATACAACCGTAATAACTACTATTAATTTTATTAGTTCTTTGCACACTTATTCCTCCCTCCTCTTTCTAATTATTTCTCTTTGCTCGTCTTATATATATATCCTTGTTTTTAGGTCCGTATTAATAATCGTTCCATATAACGGCTATTATTACGAATCCTATATTTTACATTCTTTTATCGTTTTTATTTTTTTGCTTTACGTTTTCAGGATGAATATTTTCGGCCAACACCTGTGAGCGCATCTGTCGTGTGGCATACTCCCATTGAACTCGAATAACTTTCATCTCTTCTAAAGACACATGTTTGGTCAATCTAAATATTCACTCTACAAATCAATGTTCAAAACTTCCGAATTTCTATCATGTTGTTACATTTAGTAAATTCTAGCGTAGAAGATCTCGACGAACACCAAAGATTTTACAAAAAAATGCGTTTTATTCCAAAAAAAGAAATAAATATCCGCCGTTGAAAAACGCATTTTTGTCGCGTTTTCCGTTCTCTTATAGCTACTATTATTCCACGTCACCGCAACGCGTGGGTAAATTGTAGCGCTGAATATAAGAGCGGGCAAAGTTCACTTTCAGTAAGAATTTTGATCGAGAAAGTAGTCATTTTTCAATGCGACAACTTCCGTCTTGTACTCCTCAAGCGCGACTTTGCCTGCTTATAAATTCAGCGCTTGAATTACACTGCAATTTTTAAATTAATATGAAACCATAGTTTTCTAGCCAACTAGTGTACGTATACGTATACATATAACATTCGTTATCTTTATTTTTTTTAGAATATGAATGTCGAAAGATAAATCGTAGTAGAAATATATTTCGCTGATACGTCACGAAATTTAACGTACCGTCTAAACTTAGAAAAAATCACGATTCTTTCGATAATTTTATTTTAGTTGCTTCTGCCAATAGTTTACACGTCACTGCTCTGATGTTTTCATAACTTTATACAGAGCAAATTTATAAGATTTATTCATAAAGCATATGAATTGGTAAGGTAAACTTGAATTGCCCTTTAGTAGTCTTATTTAAACAAAAAGAATTTTCCATTGACCATAAGAATTGACCATCCAAATTTACAAGACGAAACTATACATATTCAAAACTTTGTACATAAAAAAAAACTCGTACTGTTCAAAAAACGCTTGAACTGTAGCATACAGCAATGGATTTTATAAATCGGCTTTTACTTGAACCAAAAGAACTTTCCAGTAGAGATCGATTATCCAAATTTACAAGACGAAGCTGTACATTCAAAATTTTATACATCGAAACAAACTCGTAAAGACTGTTCCAAAGCACATGGCCTGTGGCCGATATGAATTTGAATCCGTCTTTACTTAAGTGACTTTACAAAATAACTTTCCCTTATGAATCGATCATTTAAATTTACAAGACGAAGCTGTACATCTAAAACTTTATACATTAGCGAAACAAACTCATAAGAACTCTTCAAAATGCACGTGCACCGCGACGTGCCGAAGTGAGTCTGAATCGTACTTAATCCTCGGTAATAACCTTTAAGATTCGTAAAAAGTAGCAAGCGCGAGATACTCAGTTACACGGGGATGGATAAATTCGTTAAAATAGAATGTACGAATTATATATTATATCTTTACGATCATGATGCAATTGATCGTCACGATGACGTGGTCTGTCCTAAAAGTCTGAGAATTCATTTATTACTATTTTCGAGAATTTGAGAGTAATTTAAGAAGTGGATTCATTAAATAAATTGAAATAAATATAAAGAGTGAAAGTAAAATCTCTTGATATTTCATTCGAAGGATGTCTTACGCGAATGCAGTTTGCCGTCTAATCGAGCTTGCAACTTTCACGATGTAGAAGGTATAAACCGGTATTACGTAACTATGCCTGATTCATTCTTGAGTGTTGTGTGCTTTCTCATATCTCTATAATCTCCATCCCTATAATCATCTTATCGTTACACGTAATAATTGACAACATTGTTCTAAGGTGAGTTAATGAATAACTTCGAATCGGCCGGCTAGCTCGCAACGACTAATGTCGTTCAATCAAAATATTAGATACCGCTCGATACGATTGATCGATCGAGTCGGAAGACGGGCAGCCGTGTATGATGATCGTTATGAAATTCACCAAGTTATTGGATACTCGCGCGTTAGATTACATCTTTACATGTTATTTCCTTAACAAGCTTAGCTCTTCACTTCGTAATTAGGAATAGTGTATTTATAATCAAGAATGTTGATTAGGGATCGTGTGATTTAGATGATTAGGGACAGTGTGTATTTTCAATCAAGAATGAAGTTTGCGAGAAAATGCCAATCATATGTACACTTTTATTTGATATTGGCAGAAATACTATGCCTTTCTCTCTATCATAATCCTATTAGAGTTTTGTGGCATAATATGGAAAAATATAAAACTTAACTAAATATACACGGATTCTTATACATCTGCTTGAACACGCCCGCATATACACGCACAGAAATGTATACATACACATGTACACACACGCATCCCAACGCATCCTAATCGAACACACTTGATCGTTATCCACATGTTCTCACTTACGTTGATAGTATTTGCTTTCGTTTTTAAATTTACATAAAGTACAAATTTACGAAAATCGGGAAAATGTAACGGAAGTTAGTATAGAAGTTCTGAAATGTTGTAATGATTTATTTTATCTTGGGTTTGTGGTCACAGGTTAGGGTCCATCGATGCGCTTAATCTTTCGATACATAATAATCCTCGTCATTCGTAGTTTTTAGTCGCATAGCTAAAAACAAAAAATATATTTACAAAATATATATCTCGAAAATTCTATACAGACTTAAGTTACATTTTTCGGTTCTCGGTATAGGCAGCGTATATTTAACGTAAATTTGGGAATAAAAGCAACAACTATCAATATAAGTGAGAACATGTGTAGTTAACGATTGTGTTACGTAGCTAACGATTACGAATGACGAGGATTATTACGAAAATTAGCTTAGTTCGTAGCGGAGTTCGTAGCGGACGATTGAATTTGGGCTTTCTGTTGGAATGTCCCAATCACACCAACTGTTTGTACCTACCCGCAACATCGATTGCATAAATCGTGTTGTGTTTGTCAAATTATTTAGCCCTTATCAAAACGTCTATCGTCGTTTAAACGCGCATGTTTTTCTCGCGCATTTACGCATACTTATATACTACAACGAAACTGCACTACCCAGAATTTGTGAAATATAAAAAGTCCGATGTTTCCAGGCTTCGACAAAGTTTATTACGAACAGCAAATAATAATATTATAAAGATTCTTCAAACGCAGCCATCAAGTCACTTTGCATGTTCATATCAATCTGTCCAGCCATCTGAAAAAAAAAAAAAAAACATCGATGTAAATTTTGCCACGATCGTTGAAGGACATTTTTTTTTTCACGGGTCTTTCACTATCTCTCTCTTTACATGGAACTAATAGGAGAAAAAAGATAAGCTCGAGAGATTCTTCGAAGGACTATTAGTTATATGAACTATCGCTACCTAATTCGCATCGGTGTTACGCGACACGAGATCGGTCCGCGACGGAGCTTACAGCGCAACATAAGACAAATTGTATGATAAGACAACTGTATGATTGATAAGAATTAATGTTAACGAATAAAATGAGAAATAGAGAAGGAATATCAGAATATCACTCACTGCTTCGCGCCGCCGTCGCTCTTGTTCCCGTAGCCTCTGACGTTCTCTTTCGGCGGCTGCTCTGTCCTGACTGGATGAATGACTTGGGCTGCTGCTGTCCGTATCCGCGATAGCTCTCACTTCTTCCGTCCTCGTTGTGGCGGTCATTGTGTTGCCTGGTTGATCTCCAACGTTTTTCCTGGCTTTGTCCATAGCATCCTCCTCCTCCCGTTCTCGTTTTCTCTCGTTCTCCTGCCGTAATCTCTCGCGCTCCGCCTGCTCTTTCTGCTGTTGTTGCCTACGCATCTCCTGTTGTTCCAGAAGTGCCCTTTGCTGTTTAATATGTAGCGGCAAATGTACTTAATTATTTACGGGGTGGACAATTACTCGGAAGTGATTCCAATAACTTTGACGCCGCGACGGCTTTGTGCAAAAGCTTACTGCGGAATGTAACGGACTCTTCGTAGACACACAGCGACCACCCGACCTTCAGAAACTGGATGATTAACTGATGGCGTAATATTTATATATCGATATACAGGGTGTCCGTCGCTAAGTGTCTCGTATACTTGTGGTTTAAGTCAATGTGAACAAAAAATCCTCTACTATGTTGCAGGACACGTAAATTTTTTAATTATTAACTAGAAAAAGACAGAGAAATAATCATGCGTAATGTGACGGGCGGCGAGCGAGTGGTGGATCAACGAGGGGCGAACGATGAGTGACGCTCGTTGCATCGCGCATGATTATTTTCCCCTGTCTTCTTTAATTAATAATTCAAAAATGTTACGTAGTTGTTTGCAAAATGGTACGAGATTTTTTTTACTTCGTTTTTCGTTTTGTTCACATTAATCTAAACTACGAGTACATGACGGATGAAACACTTAGCGACAGACACTATGTATATACCTGTTTTACCTGCAAATGTTATTCTGCACAATACACGAAATAAAACTTGTAAGAACAAATGAGAATGATAAGCAAATAAGAACCGTCGCTAGATATTAAGCGCGAAATTCTCAATCTTAACGGGATGTTAAATTGTTCGTAATAATAATAAGATTCAACATTTCATGCCTAACATTTAAGTTCTTATTTGTCAATCGTTCTTATTCATTTTTACTGGTTATATGTCGTCAGAGCCTTTATATCTTTCGATGCATGAAATTAGACGTTAGAATATTTCTTCTCGACGTTGACATTTCTGTCTTCGCCGGAATGACTCGATAATTCGAATAACTGCACGAACTTTTGTTCTTTATCATTGCTTTTAACATAGAGTATATTCTGGAAGTATACTCGTATTAAAGCGTCAAAATTATAGAAGTCTTTCCCAATTTTTACGGGATTTTAAAAAGGGACATTTCATTAATAACATTAAAGCGTGAAAAGTATTGTAACTAACTCGATCTTGTTTCTCTTTCGCTTGTTTCTTGAATGCTTGGAACGAGTCTCGAGTTGCAGAGCTTTTCATACTGCTACCTGCAGCCGACGATTGAGGACTCGATGCTTGAGCCAGGGAAGACCATGACGAAGCATTCTTCACATTTTGTTCCACAGTCTGTGTATACAAAAGTTTTTTCACCTCATACATCAAACACTAGAATAAATCGTGGTATTTAATTGCACAGGGGCCCAGCACAATACATGTAAATAAAAAAAAACAAAATATAAAAATAAAAAATTATTTTCCAATAATCCTAATAACTATTATAAAAAACGGTTGATTTTGATTAAGATGTAGATAAAAAATATAAAATATAAAATGAATACAATATAAAATGAAAAATATAAAATAAAATACAATAATAATAATATAAAAAAGAAATATAATAGAAAATATTCATAAAATATATATAAAAAGTTTAACGCATTTAAAGAACGGTTTTTGTACCTTATTTTTGAAGGCTGTCGCGAAGTTGGCGGTAGTCTTCGAATCAGGTGGAGTCATTTTCTTTTCGGGCATCAGTTGAGAAGTGGTATGATTGTTGCCCATCGGTGGCATTCCTAAAGTGTTCATTTCTGTAAAAAGAGCTCCTGCTAGAGCAATAGTATTATTTCTGATTAGTAAGCAATTAGTAGCAATTAAAACACTTATCAAGCAGTGTTTGCTCGAAGCATGAGTAAGGAAGAAATAACTCGTGAAAAAAAATCACACGATACTTAATATCTTTTGGTTGATATTCTGGTATAAAAATGTAACTTATTCAGTTTACTAATACTTACAGCATCCAATAAAGTTATTATTATTATTATTATTATTAGAACTCATGCTGAAAAGCATGAGCTTGATCAAGCGTATCAATAAGCACATACAATGTTAATTTGTGATATTAACATGTTGCGTTTTATCTCCTACATAATACTATCTTCGTTCATATTAATATTAGCTACACTAATGATTGTCTCTTGAATTACGGACTTGCTATAATATATGAAGAGTATAAATAAGTTTCTACCGTTTCTCCATACTGTTCATCAAAATTCTTTATTTAATGAAAGAGAAACGATTCGATCGTTCAAATAAAAATATTTGTCATTTGCATTTAATTCTTTTTACCATCTTTCGGGTAGCATACAGATGCCGCGGCGAAAGAATGCTTGCATTTAGCAAGAAAAGCAGTTTATTAAGCGCTTTTTTATTATTTGCTTTGTTATTATTATCTATGTTTGGAATATTCTTTTAGATCTTTCATAGATTTAGGAGAATGTACCAATCAAAAGCAATAATCACAAAGCGCTTATCAAGCTACTGAATAGCATTAGTTAGCATTGTCTCGTCTTTTGATATGATGAAATTGTGGGTTCATTTTCTAGTATCTGCCTCATTTCGAGAGTGTATATCGGAGAGGCTGTGTTGCATCAATTAGAATAAGTGATAATCAAACAGTGCAATGTCTGAGAGTACATTGAGTGGGGAAAGACTTCCCATTCGTGATCATATAGCATTTGTTTCGCGTCATGAGCAACATGGAGCCTCGTGTTGTTATGTGGCAAAATGATTTTACATTGTTTTGAGGACGTGTCGTTCGTCTCTTGAAGTGCCTGGTTTAAACGGTTTAATTGGTGCACGTAGTACACCGCTGTTTGACACGGCAGAAGAAGCTCATAACACAGTACTCCATGTTCATCTCACCAGATACAGAGGAATAGCGTCTTGCCATACATGTTACGTTTTAGTGTCGAAGTGTCGTCGGTTGCTCGGAATTCTTTCACGATTTTTTGTACTTATCATAGTTATCATAGTCAATTTAGTCTTTCGTCACCTGTCACAATTTGTCACAAAAAACCTTTTTTTTTTATTATCTCATCAACAGTGCGAGAAAAATGTCAAAATGTCGTGCACAATTCTCCAAAGTCTACTGATGCAGTATCCATCTTTCTTTCTTTTGGATCTTTCCCATCGTATATAATCACTTAGAAACGGCGGATTGAATCATTCCAAGTTGTTCTGTAAATTCTTTTTGCGTCTGTGCCAATTTTTCATCCAAAAATACTTGAAACTCCTCGTTTTCGATTGTCTCAGGTCGTCTAGAACGCAATTGATCACCAACGTCGAAGTTTTTAATTTTTACGTTTTTACTTTCAAATTTTGCAAGCCAATTTCGGTACATTCTTCCTGCCACAATAACGTCGCCGTACGTATGTCTCATAAATAATTCTGTTTGTTTCAGCAACGATTTTACCATGATGGAAAGTGAAGCATGCAATGGCGAAGATGCACCTTTTCAGCGTTTATTTTTAATTGAACTAAAAGTATAGCTAATTGTTGGGTAACAATAATTAGACTCAAAAATCTCAATACGCCGTTTCAGCACTATTTAAAATCTGCGGTGGACTTAGATATACTCCTGACATAAGCAAAAGGAGTGAAGAATTTAAAGCGAATTTGGCACCAAGCGAAAGCGAAATTTAAAGGGAAATGCACTTTAAAAAGATCGAGTAAACATTATATACAAACCATCTATAGTCTTCTGCGTCAGTTGAGGCTGAGAAATAGGCAAGGACTTCTCTTCCTTCTTAAGAGGAATCTGCGGAATCTGCATCGGTATGCTGCCCACCATAGGGATGGATTCGAATATCGATGCCACATTACCCACCATATTGATTCCCATGTTCATTCCCGGAATGCCGTTGTTGTTCAGCATGTTGGGCGGCGAGGTATCGCGCTTTATGTTCGGAAACCCGTTGGAATGCTGTTGCGACATCGTGACATTGTGGGAGTTCTGTATGGTGCCCAATGGTGTATTGATTATGCCCTCCAATTGGTTGTGTATGGACATGTGCGCCGTGAGTCCTTGTGGCAAGTTCAAATTTGCCATATTGATGTTACCGAGGTTCAGATTAGAAGCCATATTTGGCATTATGTTCACGGGTTTCACCTCAGGTAATAAATTCAAATTGGTATTGTTGTTATTGGTATTGTTGGTCGCGTGAGACGTTTGAATAAATTGCGACTCTTTCTTAACTGAAAGCGATGGATCTAACGATGGCTGCGTGGTTGGAACAGCAGCTGTAATAGAAAGAAAAAATTTATGACGAAAACATATAATGTTTTCCTTTCATATTTAGGGACAAAAAATAATTTCGTGTAGGTTCATTCTATAAATATTAATAATAAAAGTTATATAAAAATTAAGTATAGAATAATAAAATAATAATAATATAATAATTATAATCAAATAATAATATAATGATAATAAATAATAATAAAATAATATTAAAATAATAATAATAAAATAATAATAGTAATAATTGTAATTATGTGTATACCTAAAGTGTTGTACGGTTGCATAAGGTCGGACTGTTGACTCAAGTTCGTCCCGTCTATGGACACGGGTGTATTCGCACTTGAAAAGGAACTAATAGACGCCGGTGGCTGCTGCGGTGGCTGCTGCGAGACAGCTGGCGAGGCTGTCATGGAATTCGTATTCGTCGGTGTGACGCTGTGCGGCGGGGTCGGCACAGAAACAGACGGTGTTGGGGGATTGGACGTCGCAGGGGGTGGCGGCGTCGGCTTTTTTACAGGGGCAGCTGTAGCCATAGCTGTTGGTCGCGATGGTTGCGCCGGCATGGACGCGTGACTCACAACCGGCATACCTTGCGCCACTGTAACAGCGGCCACTGCGATAGGTTGTTGATTATTACCTCCTAGAAGAATTTTTTTTACAATTGTATTTCCGTATCAATCGGACATAACAACGTGTTTCCTTATGATAACGTACGACGTGCCTTCGATCTTTGTAACTTGTACGTCGTTAAAAGGTTTTAATGAGAGATATATTTGTGTAAAAACCGAATCTATCTATAATTAAATCTATCTATAATTCTTACCTAGCTGAAGCAAATTTGTAAATGAATAACAATTACAATATATATTGACTCTCGCTATCTGTTAGAAGAGCTAATGCTAATTAGGAAAAAATAAATCAGTCTGAAAATAATTAGATTACCCGAATTAAAAATAATGAAATAAGCCAAATTAAAAATAGGCATGCGTACAAATACACTTCATGCGGTTAGATTTTTCTCGAAAATTACTCTTGGACTACGAGTATTGAATTAGACAATATCTCAAATAATTTCGGCTATATGAGAACTGTCTATATTGACATAATTGCCTTGTTCTGGAGGAATATTGCTCGGTTGGGTTACAGTCGGCTTCGCTATTGGTCCCGTAGCGTTTGTTGATGGTTGACTATTCATTAAGAGAGCTCCAGTATGATTCAATGTAGGTGCCTAAAAAATATATCAACTAATTTAGTTCACAATCAAAAATTACTATTTGTTTCATTGTGTATGTATAATACGCATAATATAATTTATATTAACATTAAATACAAAACAATATATGCATTAAATAGTATATCATAAAAAATACTGAAATTCGAATAATTACCGACCAGATTCGTCCTATCATGGTATAAATTAATGAATGACTTACTGGTGGAACGGTGGCAGCCGTTGAAGCTGGTCCTGTACTTGGTGCATTCTTTTTTGCCTTCTTTCTAGGCGGACGATTGGAGGAGTTCCCTTTAAATTTAATGTACATAATTAATTTAAAATATGCAATGCATACACCAAATGTGTGCAAAGTACGAAGGACAAAAATCGACGGAGACCTAACGAAGTGCAGAGTAGAGGATACCAGCCATTAAGCCTAATGCCGCTTACCAACAAACGTCGAGTGAACATATTAAGTAAAACATAACATAACAAACAACGCCATGCGTATATTTTCTAATAGATTTTATTCATATGCTTATATTATAATTGTATCACTGTGTACAACAATGTTAATTTAAATATCTCAATTGTAGCTCCCTCTCTGTTTTTCCTTCTTTTCTTTTTTTTTTGTGGACTTTCATATATCTTAATGATCTTTTTATATTAAAAAATTTGAATGCGCAGAACAATTTTTTTCATCTCTTCATCCTACGTAAAGTTAGTTGTATTCAATTTATTTACGAATAATTGCGTGTGCATATATATATATCTATATATATGTATACACATCATAAATACATACATACCACACGCGCTCGAACAGATGCATACATGCACAAGTGCCGCGTAGTTGTCGCACATACATATATATATATGTACGTACATATATGTATGTAAGAGCACGCTTTTACTCGCTTTCTTTCTCTCTGTCTCACTTTCTCTCCCTCTCATTCTTGCTCCACTAAGGTAGCGATATAATCATGATTTATTACAATAATAATAAAATAATAATAATGTCGCGTCGTTGACGGAAGTGACGGTTATAAAATATTGACTATAAAAATCATCAAACTGCCATCTCTCCATATTTACTCTTCTAACATATATATATATATATTACATATATACATATATATATATATATATATATATAAAATAGAAGAATAAATAAAGATCTCACATACAAGTACAATATGTAGGGCTCAACTTAAAGGTGAATGATACACAAGAGTGATACTCTTTTTACAAACTGATTAATGTAACTTCAAGTCGTAGTTAGCGCAACACTGAGATCGGTGGCAAGAGACTCCTGCTCGATGTTCATTGTGATTGACATATTAAAAATCAGTGACGTTGGTAAGATCTAAGGAAACTGACATCACAAAACTGACATTGACTCTAATTCATTCTTTTTGTGTGTACATGCTTGCTTTCTCTTTCGAACGATCCATAATCATGACTGTGTATCATGAAATCACGACACTGAGAGATTTGTCAATATAGTGGGAGAAAAGAAACAAAAAGAAAGAAAAGTAATCGATAACCTTGCTAAAGAAAAATTTGTTTTTAACGACCGAAACGATAATAACGAAACAACGAGAAGGAGTTTTATATATATTTATATATATATATATATACCAGTATATCTTAATTTATATAATATAGTTAACTGGACCACCATATATGAGCCAACCGCGACTCCGAACGCCCTTATATAGAATTAATGTCTATTTCACTCGTTCAACTTTGTGTATGCACTTAAAAAAGTTGCGCGCGTACGCGCGCGCGCGCGCGCGTCGTGTGTGTGTGTGTGTGTGTGTGTAGCGTTTTAAATGTAACTTATAATTATATTTTCATTAATAATTTTATATTTATGATATATTAGTCTTTACTATGTACAAAACGCGTATGCTCGTGTTATTTTACCGTTTAACTATACCGTTTAAAACTCACGATACGCAGAAAACAGATGGAACGTACATACAATTCTGGAGAGAAAAGGGATATTAATCAGCGACGTTAAATAAAATGGTGGTTTAAAGTGTCCCTTCTGAGTATAATAAAATATTTTCGTTTCGTTATATAGATCTGCTCTCGCGTATCATGATTCTAGCAGGAAGAATGACGTTCCAGTCTGGATGAAAGGATGCGACGAAGTAGAAGAAGAAATAATAAGAGAAGAGATTTGAGACACGTGCTCGCAGTATTAGATTAAATGCTACAAAAATTTTGGAAGGCAATATGAATATCGTTATAAAATGCCCTATACCTCGCGTTACAAGCTAATGGTGATTGTATCTTAATAGATGCGTCATATCTATCTAGTTCCAGCACACGCTGTTAATTTGTTCTTTCCATATTCTAGCTAGTTAGTTCGCGAATTTTTCTATTCACTTTCAGTTATCTTGGAAAAACGTAAAACCTGATATAATAATATTATAATCTGCCCGACTGTCTTCTCATGTCTACCATTAAATGCTTATATAATTCCATATCATTAATTTTCTTAGATATCGACGAACACTTTTTTTCTGACCAATTGTGGCTGTTTGTATAGAATTATAGTAATATTAATTGTCCTACTTCTCTTCCTTATTTCTCGTTTTTTTTTCCTGTCGGGACAGTAAGTACGTTTGCTGAGTGTACGATCCATGATACTATTTAATTGTACTCGAGTGCAAATTCGATTAGCCTTAATGCTCACGTTCAATTATTAGGTGCGTTCTGAAGCACCTTAGAATGTCATTATCGGTTACGTCACAATAAATTCTTATGTATTATATATATATAGTTTGCTATATATATATGTACATATATATATATATATATATATGTATATATATATGTAAGAACTAAATTTACACGATATATCTCAACAAAAAAAAAAAAAAAAGAGAGAAACTTATAGAGCAGACATTTGCACGTAGAAATATAAAAACAAAATATCGTTAAAATTAATCTTGATTAAACTCGTATAAAAGATTTCCTAAAAATGTTTTTTTCTTTTTTTTTTAATAGGACGGGTTAAAACTAACGTTACTTCGAAAATTACAACGATATCGCGATTATTCGGAAATTCATGATATTTACAACACATATGAAATTTTCTATTACGACGAAAAGTGAAGTTTACGCTTAACGGGAATAGCGGCTACTATTTCATACAATAAGGCATGTAAAACCACACCAATCTTCGTAGTCCATAATTACCATTGGCATAACGATATCAATTTTCCAATAGAAAGAAGACAAACGTTACCAACTTCCCCTTTTTAATTACTTCAGCGATGAGAAAATTGACAATGATCACCGATGAAGAACTTAGTGGTAAATAGAATGAAACGACGAGTAGCAAAGCTTAGAGGAGTGCAAACAATGTGTTTGGAGGCTAGGGCGCCTTGTGTATACATGTATGTAACGTATAGAAACCATTTCCTATACTCATTTCCAACCCTTTTCTTCCTCCTCCTCCTCTTCCTCCTTCATCCTACTCTCCCGTTTCACTTGCTTTCTTCATTGCGACCGATCTCAACGTTTCTAATCGTTCTTGAGTCCATTCTTTCTTCTACCTTTTATTCCATTATACTTAATACTTTAACATAAATCATACATATGTGCTCAAAGTCATTAATTTTGTAAAAAAAAAAAAAAAAAAAAAAAAAAAAAAAAAAAAAAAAAAAAAAAAAAAAAAGAACAAACGAAGTCTGTCATAGTACACAACTAGATGTAACTTGACTTCGCACATCTTGCTACTCTGTAGAGTTCATCATTAATTAATTTACTCGGGATTTATGCACTCTCGGAATGAGTCGATCATAAGGAAGATTTCGTATTCGTTCTCGCCGGACGCACAACAGCGAGACGAGACGTTTTTTTAATTGACTGTCGTAAAGGAAGCACATGTCTTTGGCTACGATAAGTTAAATCCGAAGCGGAAACAGTATCCTGAGGTATTGCAACATTAGAATTGTGTATCATCGATTGCTGAGAAGAATCTCACAGCTGTCTTGCGGAGACGAGAAGCCCGCGAAGAGCGTGACTTAGTTTATACAGAATAACTCAACAACGCGTTACGCTACAAACCGTGCTAGCCATAGAATGCGCTGACTCGCAAAATCCAGCCACCAATACACATTGTCTGCATCATTTCTTATCCGTGTATTCAAATTCGTTTATTTACACTAACGAGCATTTTTATAGGTCCACATAATCTCAGAATGTATGTGTGTGTGTGTGTGTGTGGAAATGAACGTCGAGGAGGCATAAATGCGGTCTCTCACGTTAACGAGATAAATATATTATACCCACTTTCTTACGGTTTAACGTGACGCCTGTTAATATGTCACTCTTTACTAAATTCTGAGAAATGATACGACATGAATTATGAATCGATGCGAGATAGCCAACTTAATGATTTAGAAACACAGTGATACAAGTAATGCTCTGCTTATCGATTAATGTAAATAAATATATCATAATTTGCAAGAGTTAATATATTGCATGATGTATTCGTACTTCGGGTTATGTGGGGACAATCATCGGGGAAAGCTACGATGTGTAACTTATAACCAAGGTACCAATATTTGACACCACAGTCACGGCAACGTCGTTATGTATTAACAATGTAATATAGTTCCGCATCGATGTGTGTGTGTTGAAGTCTTTAATCATTTACCGGACGCATTCACTAACTTTAAAAGCAACTTGAAAAGGACCTTTCTTACAAACCCGAAGACGAGACTGCAGTGAAAAATTCAGTAGCCTTGAGTAGCAAATTATACCTTTTGACTTTCGAGCAACAGAATGTATCGTCAACACCGATCGGGCAAGAGAAAATAATTAGTTGTTCAATAATCAATAATACAACTCGTGAAACAAGCTGGCATGGCATATGGTATCCTCTAAACACAGTCTGCACTCCACTAGCTCACCTTTGTTCTTACCATTGCATATTGTTTCGTAAATTAAACAAAAACTATTTGAAAACTCTTCTCGTGTGTCAAGTTTCGCACACAATTCTTGTGCATAACATCTCGCATAGCTGCGACGATCGTTTGTAGGAAAGTATGCGAAGTTACATTAAATAACATATGGCAAATTCAATCTCGTCGTTCGCCCTCGTTTTGTGACCAAACTTGACAACACGTTTGTATTTGCATAGTTAATATAACGCAGCACTTAAGCTACATGAATAACGCCGTCCTAATAAATACTTAATTAATAAGCAATGTTTCAGCAGCTTAAGAAGATATTTGCGATGCGTTCAGACGCCCGTAATTCCCATTTTAGAAGAAAAAGAGAAAAAAAAAAGAAGAAATAGCGTTTTTATATCTAGTTTGTAACTTCCTTCCTGCGTAGTATGTTGCGTTACTAACAATGCATCGGTGTTTTCGATTGTTTCATTTGCCAATACGAAATTGGTTAGGCACAGAGTTCATATAAATATTCTTGGAAGTTCTTACAAATCTACCACCAAATCATGAGGCATCACTTTTCGAATAGTTATGCAGCTACGAAGATGAAACACGTAGCGCAGATTTAGAGGATTATTTATGGAAAACGAATCGAATAATAAATTAAGAGAAATGCTGTTAGTGTAAAATATAATTTTAATTTTAATATTAAAAAATTGTTATGTTTTTTTCTTTTTCATTATAATAATGCTGCAAGAAATTTTGTGATATATTATCAAGTGTAAGCAACAATTTATATCAGTAGTATTTTCCAAATTTACTGACACTATAAATTTGAACTTATTCCGTACAACAGAAAGTGTTTGTCATAAAATTAATAGTTGCATCGTATAACTGTACAACAGTTGCATGCAATAACCATCATGACATTCATTTTGTATCTTTATAATATTAGAGACTGCCAGGCGAAAAAATATAATATTCCGTTATTTTATAGTTAATATATGTATATATATATATATAGAACATTCGATACGTATAATGCCACATGAAATGGTGAGTCACTTTTAAATGGCTATGAACTTCACATCTACGTTTCCGCCACTATTTTTTCTCAATGAAGAAGAGAACTTATCATTTTTAATTACGACGGTGTCATTAATGTAAGCCAACCGACACACCCAGAAAAAAATAAAAAACATGCAACGAATGAGAATTTCTACAAATGTAAAAATATCATCGTTTCCACAGACTTCAATGAACTTAAGAGCGCGTCAATCATACTTATATTTCATATATTTACGTGAATATTCTTTTCAAATTTTTGGGCGAAAACGTGAATATGGAAATCTGTGCTCTGTGACATCCATAAAGTGATAATCAATTTATCACGAAGAACTCGCGCGTAATGTTCCCCAAAAGCAACTCTGTGATTTTGAGTCTCATCGAAGAAACCACTCGCATTCCCTCTTCCTTATTTAAACACGATTGGGTCACAGTAGCTCTTTTGTTCCCAAGTAAAGGTTTAATAGTAACAACATATTTGTTGTATTCATATCTAACCTGCTTCGCTGTCACTTGAGTCACTGGAGCTTGAGGAAAGCGAACTACTGCTAGAATCACTGTCACTGCTACTACTGCTCGATGCCGACAGCCGCGAAGGTCCAGTCGCACCACCAGTCCCAACTACATCAACTGATTTATTGCTGTCCTCTGTAAATATATACATACAAACGGTTTTAATATTTTGTTCTGCATTCGAGTAAGTTTTACTAAAGTCTCCCGAATTCTGCGTATGTACTTCTTGGCAAATCTAGGATACATGTGCAAGATGTTAACGAGAGAAATAAATCAAACTAACTAACCTTTCTTGGCAGTCTTTTTGACATTGCCCAATTGCCCTGTCACATCCTGTAACCTTTTCTCCAATTCTTGTTTCTTCTCTGCCATCTGCTCGTCCTTGGACTTACCGCTGACTTTTTTATCTGGGTAAACATATAATAATATAACATTTTATTATATAGAAAAATCATTGTAACTTGTGCATCACGATCCCTGTTGCCACATTATTAAAAAGGATCTTTCCTTTATATTTATGGTTAACAACATGATTAAAATATATATTCTTCATAATTTTTTGGATAAAACTACAAACATATTTTCTTTATCTCTTATTAAAACTAAAATATTATTTAAATCTGTTGAACACGCAGCTTCCGGAGAAACGGCTACTGAATTACTTTGCGAGCTCAAGTTAAAATGAAGCTTATAATAAGGCTTACGTGGCTTTTTTCTCAGGCATGATGCAACGTAGCTCTCCAGTTCACGAAGCGTCGATGGCTTCAGCGTCTCAAAATCGATCTCAATTTCATCTGGATTCGAATCCCTTAATGAGGGTTCCCGCGATTGTATTATATGTACAACGCGACCTAATTTGTCACCTATAAAAAAAAAAAAGAAATTGTAAAGTTTGCTACATCTAAAAATTATATAGTCTAATCATATAGACTCTTTATTGTTTGATATATTAGTTTATTATATAATTCAAAAAATTGGAATAATAATTTAACATATCGTACCTGGTAGTTTATTGATATCCAAACTGAGCTGTCTCTTCTCATCGTAAGACATAGGCTTAGCGTTGTCCTCATCCTCCGAGTCGAATGCCATCGGAGGCGGTTGATTTCCAGCGTTCTTCTTCTTGTTTCCAGTAGATCTACTATTAGCCTTTGGCCTTTTAGTCCCAGTAGTCGCCGCAGCCGCAGCTTTTCCAGGTCCTCGGCCTTTTCCTTTCGGCTTAGCATTCGTTGCTGCTGGTGGCATGTGATGGCTCAAATTTCCGGCCGCATGGGTCTTGTTAGGACCTACTGCTATAGCCGAATGATGGAGATCACTACCCATGCCGCCGGGCATCTTCAAATCGCCTGCACCCATCGCGACGCTGGCTATACTAGCACCAACGCTATCTGTGACACTGGGGATACCGCCGCTTGGTTTCATCAGTTCTTTCATGGCACCCGTATGACTGGCAACAAGGCTACTACTCTTATTGCTCATCGGCTTTGATTTCGTCTTATCAGATTTCTTCTTCTTACTCTTCTTTTTGCCGCTCTCTGCCACCAATTTCCTCATTTCTTCTTGCATAACCTTCAACTAATAAATAAAATAAATAAGTGAATAAGTGAAATTTATGTTATTACTACCTTTTTAAACCATATAATGTACTTTTATAAACCATATAACTTTGTCTCATACCTCTTGCTCTAAAGCGATCAACTTTTGATTGCGTAATTCCTCGCCAGAATCGTCGCTATCGGAGGAATCTTCTTCGCCAGTACTACTAGCACTACTACTAGTGCCTTTCATTGCCACCATGCCACCTATCGGCTCGTCCGGAATTTTTGCATATCTAATCATTAAATATAGAGTTAATTTATCATAATTCTATAATGAAAACAGATTACGAATTTTTCCAGAATTTATTTCCAACCTCATTTCGAAAATATCTTGAAGTTTCCTAGCCATCGAAACGACATCATGATCTGGAGGATTGTACTTGTAGCAATTGGTGAATATAAGCCGTACGTCACTCGCAAATTCTTGTGCAGTTTTGTATTCACGATTATCCATTTTCGACTGCGGAGAAATAGAATTGCATATACTAATTTAGTTTAATATATGCCTATAACATATACCTATAACATTTAATTTTTTCCAAAAATAAATATAAAATATAAAATAATTGATAAGTATATATCGATTTTTCAAACTAGAATTTTAGAAAATATGATCGTATAATCACATCATATAATCAAAAGCACGAACCTTCACAGTGCCAAGATCCATAGGTTTCTTGATAATATCATGATAGTCATGCAGGCCTAGAAGTTCTGCGTCAACCGGTTTATAGAACGGCCATGCGTAACCCTTATATTAATAAAAAAAAAAAAAATAATCGTTAATAACACAAAATTATAGTTTAATTTACTTTCATCAATATTTTATGTTGATGCGAATTAGAAAACAAATACATCATTCACCGAATGCTTTTTGGAGAAAAGTTCTTTCAAGATGTCATTGCAACACTTCAACGCTTCAGACAATTTTTCCTTTGATTTGCTACCAGCATGTTGTGGCTGAAAAATAATTTACAAAAATGTTATACTATGTCACATGAGAAAGAAAGAAGCTTATAATGTCAGTATTTTATTTTAACCTTTTGATTGCTAGATTTCCATGTAAATTCAACTATTTTTGTCGATTATTTACTGAATTTATCACTAAATATGATTACACATATTTTTTATCTTATATAAAGATCAAAGATAGTGGAAATAATTTTATTCAAATATTGGAAAAATATAACAAATACGTAAAAATTGGAGGTAAAATGAGTTTACTTTTATCAATCGTTTCACTTTATTTACTGAAGAATGTAATTCAGAGAAAATTTAAGTTATCTAAATATTTTTCTGCTATATATTATGCTTTCTATATAGTGGTGTCCAGTAACCAAAAGATTAAAGAATTTTTTATTGTTTAAGAGAGAAAAAGAAAAGTTTTATTATAGAACTTTAAAAAAAAATTGTAAAAATATTTTTTTATAGTTTATATTAAGTTAATTCTATATAGTTTATATTTTCTTAAATATTGCCATATATAAAAGAATATGGCATATTATATCTACCTTATAATAAGTTTGTTTTTTTAACATACAAGTTATATTTATAGAGAACTATTGTTTAATTAAACACATATAAACCTAATAACATCAGCTTGATAGAAAAATGATAAGACAACACAAATGAAAGGAAGGAGTATGAACGAGTAGTAATAAATGTACCTGTTGTGCCATTGCCCCCATCAGAGGCATATTGGTCTGATGGAATGGCACTAAACCATCTTCTGCTTGCCTCGTTGGCTGAAACAGCCATGTCATGAAACGTTGGTTAATGCATTAATGAAATGATTATGCATGCAAGGATTAAGGATATTTACAAATGTTATGATATAATGAAAAATAATTTGGTAATATGATAACTTGTTCTACAGACATACACATACACACACAAGTTCAAATTTTATAAATTGTAAAAATTTTGATACGTTAATAAAATTTACATGTACATGGAACTTGAAATTGAGCAATTTCTATATGCGAGACATTACATAAAATGACATTCTACTCTTGCAAGTCGATGTCATGTTTTATGAACATGTGGATATCGCGTTTTTGATGTTTCTGGTTCAAATATAAGATATAACAACAAGAATGTATAAGATAAAGAAAATATATAATCACCTTCTTAATTTGCCTGCCCGACTCTCTTCTTGTAGGTATTTTGGCGTTCTTAGAATCCATGGGCGCATACATAGGTTCAAACGAATTCGCTGTGGGTGTTGTGGTATCAGCCTTTCTTTTCACTCCCTTTTTAAGTTTGGCGGGTTGCGACGGAGGCATGACAGCAGGTGCCGTGGGAACTTGAGGAGGTGGGAGTACAGCCGAAGTTGCCTGCGGATCCAACGCTGGCTGTGCATGGTAACCTGTGGTCGGGGGGACAACTTGTTGAGGCAGAGAGTTATGAGTGGCCATCGGCGCAACGCCCATGCTTGCCGGTGGAGCGATGGTGGTTGTGTTCGTACTTCCAGGTACTGACACCGGTGCCTGGGTGCCAAGAGGTGGCATAGGTATGACACCTGTTGTCCTAGCTGCTGCAGCAGAAGGCGCTAGACTGTTAGGTACGCTAGAAGTAACGGCAGCTGCACCTGAAGCAGGTCGTCCTCGACCTGTACCTCCTGCAACTCCACCGGCTGAACCACTGACTCTGCCAGCCTTTTTACCCTTGGGACCTTTGGGTAATGGTGGATCCAATTCCACTTCTTCTTTTGGCATCTGTGCAACCTATAAAAGTGTCATTATGGAGATTTATCTCCGTTGTTATAACATTCAGTTAATAACATAATGCACAATTTTTAGGTCATAAAAGTCGGGAAGAAAATATATGGGAGATGCAATGAATTTTGAACTGGTAACGTTAAATCCGAGATCTAACTTGCTAGCTTGTTCTACTAAGCTATGCAGATTCCCAATATATTCTCTTCCCATCTTTTTATAAATCTTCGCCTTGACACTTTTCTCCCTGGTTCTCTATAACAGGTTATAATTTAATAATTTAATAAGTGTTATTTATTTTATTACTATTTTTAACTTACTTTTACTTGCTGCTTATTACATCATTTGATAGAAATACATTCTAGATATAGAAATATATTAGTATAGGATGAAAAGTATACCTTTGTAAGAAACAACTTTTCGAGAGCTTGTGCCATGACTACAACATCTTCTCCAGGTTTGTTGTAGACATAGCAGTTGGTAAACATCGTATTGAAATCCTGAATACATTCTTTCCCACTCCAGTAATAAGTATTCTCCAATCTCTTTTTGATTGTGCCCAAGTCCATAGGTCTCTCGATAATTTTGTGATAGTCCTTTCGAATAAAAAATAAGTAAATACATTCAATGTAATAAAGTTTACTTGTTCGTTCAGGATAAAGTGTTTTATATAAATACTTTACAAATTACTCTCGCACTACGATATTAATTGTGATATTTGTAAATTACAACGTACTGGTAAATTGAGCTTCTTCGCATCTACAGGTTGTTGGAAGGGCCAGGCAAATTGATGCTTCCATACTGGTTTAAGGACACCCTTCAGTAAAAATTGCAGTTGATTTGTAATACGACCTGGACGATTCGGTGGTGGAACGACCGGCGGTTGAACAATGCCGTTTACAGGCTCCAGGCGTGGTTCATCGCGCGGAGGCGGTTCCTTTGGAGGACTCGCTGGTGTAGTCGAGGCCTTACCAGGTGCGCTCGTCTGCATTATTATTTCGTTCGTTTTACACAAAAACGACTAATGTGTTTTTTTTTATTCAATTTAATATCTACAAACAAGGAAAAATAACATAAAGCGTTTGATACTACGCATCTTGTATCAGTATCATGCATTTTAGGTTATCAATCGCGACGTATTTTGTGTGCAGCGTTCCCAGACGGATGAACAAGCCCCACCACGCGATACTTACGTGCGCATCCAGAAACCTGCGCAACCAATCACGTGACGCGTCGGCAGACTCGTGCTCAGCCGCGTGAGGCAAAACTTATCGGGCCCTATCCGCTCTCTTTTTACCCGCCCACAGCATTTTCTACACTTTTTGCAATTTTTACATCTTTCTCACTACTGTCCGTAAATTATAAGTCACATTCCATCATGAAGGACTTTTCGCAAGATTTTAAACGAAGTAAATAAGAAATTACAAATTAGATCTTTGAAAACGCAATCGAAACGAAACCCGGTGTGTAGCTTCAACATCCTGATATTCTCGTGAAAAAAATTCTTTTATGAGCGACATACTTATCAAAGATAAGGTTAACATTCTTTTCACACTTTCAATAAATGTTGACACTAGTGTAGTAAATCGTTCGCGTATTGTTACGCACCGCAACCCAAGCTTTGGAAATCTTTATCTTAGGATATTTTATTTGCCTACCGATAATTCGATTTCGAGTCTGGATGGGAACAAATATCTTACATATCTAGCCCTATGAACGTTGTAAATTCCAAGCAAGATAATTCTGTAAGAATTTATCGCGCGAGAAATAACTCTAAGAAAACCTATATGTTCGATTGTCTGTCGAGTCGCAGTCTCGAAGATAGTTGAATCAGTTTTCAGTCGCTGCTTATACGGGAAAACCTTTTGCACTACGAGTCAGGATAAAGCATTTCCAACCAGACCGTGTTTTTTACTTCGCCTATTTGATCCCGAATCTTCAATTACGCGTGCAAGTACACCGAATCTTGCGTTTGTAACAATACGCAGAAGAAAAGCCTTCGTTCTTATTTTTCCTCAGTTAATAGAAAAACTTGAATATAATTCTCTGTGACATTTTCTGATCTTTTCCTGTGACGAACGGAAACGATAAGCCTTCTAAGCGGCAGGACGCGGCTGAAGCGCAAACATTCTGCTAACGCTCACGTTACTACGCATGCGTGGAACTTGTCTCTCACGTAGGAAGAACACTGTTTATACGCCGTATTTGTGCAAAATGTTAATGGCCACGTATATAAAACGTGAAACTTAGAAGTGGTAAAGAATACGATCTACTGTATAAAATATACGGGTACTATTGTTATAGGAACACCTTTACGTTTATCAATGATAAAGTAAGTGAAAACATAAATTATACTTTCTCTAGAATACAAGTTTATATATGTATATATAAATATATACACATTTATATACACGCGCTCTCTAAGTTACTGACCCCATCCATGCAACGAGCGAATTAGGCTGCTAAATATTTAACTTCCATAACCACAGGCAAGCTAATTTGGAATTTCGTGTGAGGAAGCCTTCACTAGAGATCACAATAGGACTCGAGAGAAATCAGATGAGAACTTACAAATGAAATATAATGGCATCTTCAACTCACTTCATATATAGTTCATGCAAATTCATCGAAATACATTTTTATATCGTTAGAGCAGAAATTATTTCGTTAATTAAAAAGTAAGATGTTACACACTGTTTACACATTACATAAAAATAACGCATAAGCCGTAGATGTTGATATCGAGGATATTTATGATGCTATAAATGAATACTAGACACAGCGAGCAAAAAGAAATTTGTTTCTACAATATCAATGGTTTTTACTAATATATAATTGTAACAGTATTTATAATTGTATAATTCTATTAATGAAAAGTTTACTAATATTTATTCGCAAAGTTGCATTTGTATTATTTTAATGCTGCTAGTAGAGTGAAGCAAAATTATATATAGATTACTTATGATAGCACGAATTATTAGTTTGCCAATTCATATTTCAACAATATAACCTAGTTGAAACTATTGTCAACAAGGTGTCTCACCTTCGGTATATTACACAGCCTTTCTCGCTCCTCCACATCTAACTGTAATTCATACGTACTATTCAGTCAAACAGCGCTCTTTTAATACAAAAAAAAAAAAAAACGGAAAAATGAATATTATACAAGGAACAGAATTTATTAACAATACGATATTAGGAAGTATGTGTATCCAAATGTGGGGAGAGTAACAAAATTCGATGCACGATACACAAATCGTATTACACAGTCACACGACAGTAGAATAGTTTGCAAAGGATCGTTTACAGCAAAATGTCAAACACGTGATCCATATAAATCACTTTTCGATCATTTCGAGATGAATGAAGAAATGATCCACGTTTTTTATATTAATATAACACTGTGAATACATGCTGATGCGCTGCGTAATATGAAATGCGCTGAAACTATGGCATCGCTGAACAGTACAGGTATATTATCACAAAACTTAACGCAGCTTCGAAATATCGTGTTAGTAAATTAATAAGCAGGCTGCATTCTGCATCATTACGTGTTATAAAGGAATATAATGTTTATTACTCACAGAATTGTTCTGCGAGATGTTGTCCACCTGCTGCATTCTGACTTCGAGACTGTAACAGAAAGAAAATGACATAATAAGATTTATTTATGAAATAGCGTAAAGATGATTCTTTTCCAGAGCGCGAAAACTATCAATCATGTTAGTTGGATTACACGACGTACATTTGCTAAAGCATTTAAATGCAATACATTGACTGCGCGCTCGAGGATAAGAATTAGTCCTATCTATCAAACAACATTAATGTTTCGTAAAGAAAACATTAATGTTTCGTTTGACCGCATCGAGTATATTTCTATGTTTCTTTGTCGCAAAGATTCCCCTAGTTCGTGTTTACCCAATGTTTTTTTAAAGGCCAAGTTTCCCTAACATCGCTATTTACGCAATCTGCTCTGGCATTGTGAATCGAATGTACCAAATGTAGCCGACTAGATCACAAAGTTGTGTAAGATTTCTCCTTTTTCTCTCTCAATTAATCGGTTGATAATATAGAGCTCATCCAGTTTCGGATAATGAGCTTCACCACTGACGAGGTAGGAATAAAGACCGTCAGCCTTACGGGATGTAGCGTACGTGAAGAATTTCGTTATTTAATAACTTTCCATCTGTAAATTTTCTGTCAAATCAGCGTAAATAACTGCAGGAATGCAGTTTTACAGAAATATCTAATATATTTAACTGTAGGTCTGTGTATAGATCTCGATAAAATATCGGGATAGATTACACAATTAAAATACTTATTAAAATCCAAATATATTCCAATTTTATATATTAGATGATTAAACATAATTGATTAACATCCTTCCTCAATTATCTCCGGACGCTTCTAAGCCCTTTACGTGGTTACGAAAACCTGCCCAGAGTTTGACGGTCTTTAACAGTACCTCGACGGTGGCTTCACACCTACCTTTCCGACATATATGATACATAAATGCTATGCAGCAGGTAACTGCCTTACGTTGATGCTTGACGCTATGAGGCTTCATCAACAATTGAGATGCCAAGTATAGATTCTGAATCGAGCGCGGTAGCTCATTAATCGCTCGCCAAGGCGATCACGCTGCAACCAGGAAGATTGGTGCCGAGGAGGCATAACACTACTCAAGCCTACCAAATGGTAGTACTTCGAGTGTCAGCCCTGTATACTGCAGTGACACTCCGTACCTCCAGTCAAGACTCGCAACATTAGCAACATCTGGATAACATAACAATAGGACCCCGTATTGTAACAGCCCCAACACAGCATTGCTTTAGAGCGATTCGTACATCTAGATGTACTCAGAAAATTTATATATGCACATATTATTTACTATTTAACATGTAAAACTGAATAGTAGATGCATGCTGGGAAAGCGAAATCTATTAATTTCTATGTGACAATAAGTATTATCAAATGTGTCGCAACTATTATCTCTGTTGTTTTTTTTTTTACAAAATAATAATATAAAACATTGTGCCTTTTTAATAAGTGCTACTGATACCAGAAAATTTATTAACGCAAAGCTGAATTTATATGTACTCAACTGAATACATTATTATATTTAAATTTATTGAGTGTTATCTTTCATGTAAATGATATTCCATTCTCTTTAATAAAAGCTGTTTCAACATTTAATACATAATTACAAAGAAAATATATCAATATATAGTTTCTTTTATCGCGTGTACTATGTATATATATTTGAACGAAATATGTAAATTTTATTTCTACCATTCATGTAAGTATCTAATATATTATTGTGTTCATTAAAAAATGTTTGTAAAATATTATACTCATTTAAAATGTTTTAAAGAAAAGGACTCATGTATATACTTGTTAAGTTTTTCCTCATATAATATAGTATCTTGACAATACATGTTATCGTTGAAAGTAAATTTAGGCTTTAATAATTTGTATCTATCTTAACAATATATATATATGATTCTGCTTTTGACTAAATGGATATCTCTATGGACAAGTATATATTAGAAGACATAACTTACACCGGTTTAATATTACTTAATTCTAGGCAAAAAAGGAGCGATTAACGATACAAAATCGTACAACAACAACAACACAACAACAACAACAGAGGAAAGTTTCCATAATGACCAACTTTTGAAGTTGTGCGAAGATGTAAGCACAATTTCCTGAAGGGATCACAAGATGAATTTATCTAACGTCGCATAACCTGATCAAATCTGAACTGAAATTTTGTGTGTTCAAAACACGTAAAAGCTTCTCTCTTTCTCTCTTTTAAGCCCACACGAGTTCGGAGTATCTGGATGTAGGATTCGACGTAGCCCCACACAGGTAGCCGTGGTGACCGGAGTAAGCCAAAAAGGAAAGTTTGTCAAAAGTAGCACAGGTAACTGGTACACAGGTATAGAAAGTGAGGTGGCTATTAAGATGCAAAATTGACGATACACAGAGAAAGACCCCACGTCGCGTTCGACGACCGTTAAGATTTTTCTCCACCATTCGTGAACGAGGTTGCCGGACGCGGCAACAGGAAGGACCTTGCGACGGAATGATCGGCGCCGCGAGGAAGAGGCTGCGCGCCCGCGGCGAGCTAGGTATCAAGGGCAGAGAGATAAGAGATCTCGCGCTCGACTCGAACAGGTGCTCTCGATGATCGCTAAGGACATCCGAGGCGGGCAGGAAAGGAGAAAGGCGAGATACGCGGGCGAAAGACGCGAAAGAGAAATAAGTGCGGCGGCGGCGGCAACGACGACTACACTACTACACCGGCGGCCGTGGTGGCGGCAATGGAAACGGCGGCGGAGAGTAAAGAGAGAGAGAGAGAGGCGAAGAGGAGGACTAGGTGAGGACGGCGCGGGGTAGGGTAGCGGATCCGCGCCCAGCCGATGCACCCAGCCGACGCACAACAAACACGAGCAAGCCGCCGCACGAAGAATCCAGACAGACAGATAGACAGTCAGGCAGGCAGGCAACCAGTCGAGCGAGCGAGCGAGCGGGCGGGCGGACGAATGAACGAACGAGCGAGCGAGCGAGCGAGCGCACCGATGGAGCGAGCGAGATAGCGATACTGCTGGCGTCGCGGCGAGAGGGCCGTCGCGCGGACTCACGTCTCGCGATACAGCCGGGGCCGTGGATACGGTCCCCGCGCGCGCGGAAAAACCCGGGCTGCCTCACCGGACACTCGTTTCGGCGTAGGTCTCTCAACATGGCGGGTATGGCCGCTCGGGAAAGAAAGCTCCCAAGGGCCCGCTGGTCGCACGGCTAGGCTACAACGCGCCACGCGTAGAGTCGGCTCGATCGCGTATACCGTGTCCGCTAAACTAAATGAGTCCGACGCCGCGCGCGCGACCTGATCACTTACCTGCGGTAGCAGTCCGCTCTCGTCCGATCAGGGGTACTCTCTCTCAAACGTAAAACACTACCACTACGCCTCGCCTCGCGGACACTCGCACTACGCTTTCTCCCTCGCTCGCTTAGTTTGGTCGGTCGGTCGGTCGGTGTTATGGCCGCCGCCGCGGGCGCGAGTGTGGCCCCACCGTATATCACTCACTCACTCTCACTCGTGCGAGCGCGAGCGCTCGGTTCGCATACGCGCGACGACGAACGGAGGTGGCGGAGGAGACGCGAATCCGACCAACTAGTCCCGCGGAATTGCGTGCGCGTGTACGCGCCGCACTCACCGCAACGAATATCGTATCAGTGGCTCGTGGCGCGGCTCGCCGACATAACCGTGAAGCCCAGCGCGGTCGTAGCAAGCCTCTCCGTGCCCATGACGATCTTCGGATCTAGAAACTAACGATCGCAGCACCAACAATGGCTACGCACTCTTCCGCGACGTACCGACTGGTCCGATTTCACCGTTCCGCGCGCGCACCGGACTCTCCGTCCAGCCTACTTCGACGAGCGCGGCCGACTGACGCCGAGCGCCAAGCCGGAAGCCGAACGAGCGCGCCAATTACAAACGGCCGCAGCGACGCCTGGCGGACCCGGCGCGCCTTAGCTCGATAAAACGGATCTACCGTCGATATCGATACTCGATTTTACGGTTAGAAACATATCTGAGTCCTATTCTCCGGAAAGGACGCAACGATTCTTCACCGTCTAAATATTCTTGCGTGTACCGTCGCGAATTTCCCGCGATCGTCCCCGACGGCCTAGACTACCGCCGCGCGCGCATGGACGTCGACCGAGCTTCTAGAACCAACTAACGGTTGCCCGCCACCCTAGGTTTTTCGCAGCTTGCGCGTTACATCCTGTGTACCATGGAGATTAAGAGATACAGTCAAACTGCGGTGATTTAAGTGCGAACATTGAAATTGTACGCGTTATAGGATTGTCATAAGTCTTTATTTGCAGGGCAGAAATAGAGATATACATATATATATATGTGTGTATATATATGTATGTGTACACGCTGGATCATAACCAGTCTAAAAATTAGCGGTCCGATTCCGTCGTTTCGCGTTTACCCATAATGCATCACTTCAACACCGAGGAGAAACGAGATCCTGATCTACAGAGCGAAGAAAGAGAGGGAGAGAGGAAAAAGAAGGCGAACAAAGAGAGACTGGAGGAAAGAGAGGAAATTCGTCGTGACAAAATCCTGCTGGCGGCAAACGCCTCTCATGCAATCCAATCCCGCAAGTCGTCGGTCACACAGCGTGGAGCAACGGTTCGATTCCGCGGTCCTGCCGCCACTATTGCGTTGCTGTTGCGCGATGCATTATGGGACGGTGCACACGTAAAATCCATAATTATTGCACTATACTGTCTTTCGATCCGCAATGCGTTCTCGAAAGTTACATCGGCGACAGGCGATAAATAACGTGGTTATTTAACAGAATCGATAGGACGCAGCGATGTCAGCGCGCGTCTCGCATAGTATTTTGTTGGAACATTCGCTTCCTTACACGTTGTATCCAGTTCCGTTATTCTAAAGTCAACATGGCGATGCGTAACGATCGACCTTTGCCTTGAATGTTGCGCCTTATAAACAACGAGCAATTACCTTCATGAACGTGAGAAGGATTATTCCACCGAGAAATTGAGAATCTCGTTTTATTTTTGGGGCCCGGTGCGTGCCTGGTCACCTAGACGCGTATTTAATGCGCAGATATCACATGTTCGTAACCACGTGGACTACGCGAATCAAGCGAAGCATAATCGCAACAAGTATGGTCGTTCGTTACACGCAACACATATACACGAGATATGTTACAATGAAATTATGTAATTCCACTAACAACTCCATCACTGGAAAGTTTTCGAGATTATGTCTCAATAAATATTCCCTGGTATCCAGAATCGTGTAGTCGAAGTTCACACTCAAACACAAAATGGCGACGAATCCCGCTTTGTAAGAGAGAGCACTCCCGACTGATCAGTAGAACGGACGACTCGAGACTGGCGTTCGCTACCGACGCAATGCGCAGCAAGCCCTGCTCGAATACTGACGGCGGCGGCGGTTCAAACTGCCGTACTAGATAGACGTTTACCAGATTTTAAACAACCTACTACCTGCGAGATGCTTTTGTATTCTTGACGACTATCCCTACCACCCCTACCGTGACGTGTGACTGCCGTGACGTCACAGAATACGAGGGTCAAAAAGAATGCGAAGGTATTCGTTAATGGAGACGCTATACGTTACTCATCGTCGTTATCTAATATGACGCATCATAAACAACGACCGATAAACGAGTCTGCGGCAACTCCACCCGTAGCGAACATCGATTGCCTATGTGATATTGATATTGACATTGTTGTAGAATAATGTCCACGGCGATATAGGTGAATCACCGTTGAAACCATCATACCCATTCTCGGTGAAAATCCCTTATCATTGAATGAAAGATTAAATATTTGGAAGAATATTCAGAAAAGATCACCCACTGCACCGATTCTTTTACGATATTATAATATATGACGCAGGGTAGATAGGAGAAATATCTGGGAGAAATTTTTACAAAGAACCGAACGCGTGGATACGGCATTATTCAATAAATATTTAATAATAGTTACGTTAAATCTATATTATAATTTTTTATTCAACGATATAAATATTATATAATATGCGTAGCAATTATATCATTGAATATAACATTGAATATAACATGTAATATTATTATTGCTTGATTTATCGAATAATTATCGAGGTATAATAAAAGAAAACTTTTGATGCTTTTCTTTGGATATTATAAGCTGATGTTGCAAATAGTACAAAATTAACACATATTATATTGATTGTTACCTCTTCTTTCAAGCTGTGTTCATATATTCATTGCTAGTTTTGAAAATCTATATAGTTCATGTTATATATATTATAGATTTTTTGTATTACTAGTGAATATACAAACGCAGCCTGATTAGAAAAAGTCTTTTTTACATTTTATTTAGAGAATGTGAATATTATATTGCTATCGATTTTATTTATCTCTGGCAATGTTTAAACTGCTTTCAATGTGCTATTATATTATTGCATGCATTACGTTTGCATGTCAAAAACGTTTTATTGTTATTGAAATTGTTTATCCGTCGTGTTTTATATCTAAGTATTTTGTATCTCGTAGCATGACAAAAGTATACGCTCATGATTTTCTTCTAATTTTTTTCATGGTTCTCTTCATTGTTTCTCACGATCGTTTAATGTTTCCATAAATGATTCTGAGAGGGAGAGTGTTATTATATATTAATGAGTTATATTATATTAATGAAAAAATCTATTAATTCATC